CCAGGTTACTTGCACCATCATTAGAAGTCCTCTCTGCTGTTGTTCATGATATCTTTTAGTCACTTGTTAGGTTTCATATTAGAATTGCATTTTGCTATAGTTAATGGATTTATTTTTTGTTTGAATTAATACATATTAATTTCACCCAACTCAGAGACCATGTTAGAGATTAAATTTCCCAGAACTGCAAGAATATTGAAGAAGGATTGAATGGTTAATTCTAATCTCAGTCTGTGTGTGTGTGTTTGAGCAAAAGACAGAGAAGAAAATAAAGAGAGACAGAAACACAGAAGATCCTGTAGTGGTTGAACAGATTGTTTGGGAGTTTATTAATTACACAAAATCGAACAGCTCTGAATGAAAGTGCACTTAATTGTTTGGCCTCAAATATAGATGTGTATACCTAGCATTTGTGTCAAATGCCTTTGGAGGAATTTGTGATCTAAATTAAACCATCACTGACTGAGAATCTGCAGTGGGTGAGGTCTCGTGAGAATACCAAGATGAGAATGGATTATTCTAGTCTCAAGAAGCTTGTAGTCTGCACTGCAGCAGATGCACGAGTACCTACGTCTACTGAATCACAAGGCTCACAGCCTTGATGATCCTGGCAGAGCTTTAAACAGGGAAAAGCCAACAGATTGCAAACATAGTGAAATTTCGGGAAGGCTTTGTGGATGAGAGAGCACAGTGTTGAAAACTATGTGAGTTTCTCAGTTTTCTGACAATCATTCCTCCTTTTGCAGGTTAAAAGGGAGCGTGTCCTTCAGTGCGATCAAATTTTCAGAGTTACTGCTTTTGGTGATTATATATTGTAATTTATTATCAAATGGGTTGAATTCTCTTACGAGCCATATACGTTCATCCCATATTCAGCTGTTTGAGGTAATATACTCATTTTTACCAAGTGTTTTATTTAAAAAGTGAGTTTTAAAGTGTCTTTTGGGGAACACATGAGAATTAAAAGTAGTTGATACTTCTTTGAATGCTTACTTTTTTCTTGTCTTTTTGTTTTTTATCTTTTCGGTTACTGTGACATTTTCATAGTGTTAGTAATTTGTCTTTTTTTAGTATTAGACTAAATTGCATGTGTAGAAAGTTTTCTTTTGGTCCTGGGATCAAACTCCTATCTTCATGAGTGTGATGCTAACTAATGCTGTATTACTGAGTTATACCCTGATCCCTGCCAGTATAAATTTTTAGTGGCTTGGTAGCTTGTTTTATAATAAGCCTTTTGGGCTGTGACTTTTTGTCATCCTGTAAATAAACACTCACACAGTACTTCTTTCAAGGGACATCTAGATACCAAAAGTTTTGCTTTAAAAAACTGAGAAATGTATTTCCAATTGCCGTATTAGTAACTTGGGTTATGTCCTCGTTTTGGATTCTCTGACTTTAGGGCCTGTCAGAGAGTGTGACAGTCCTTAAAATATAAATATTGATGTGTCCCTTCTATGTATTAAGGGCTTTTTCGATAGGGAAGGTGCATTACAGCCCTTTAATAAAGGTGTGTCACACACACACACACACACACACACACACACACACAGAGCGATAAACCGAAACAGCGGTCTGTAGCCAAGGTAAACTGGCACCCCATGCTTGCACTGAAGCCTGGAATCCCAGAGGAATCACTTCCTTATCTTTACCGTCCCTCCTTTGTCTCTCAAAACCAAAGCCCAAGCAGTAGGAATGGCTTTTTGGGTACAGCTGCTTTGTCCAGGTAGCCTGGGGACCTGGACACCATCTGGTTTCCTGTCAATTTGCCCTGCCTTCCTAACAGCTGGTTTCAAGGTGAATCCCCAAGTCATGTTTCTGCCGGCTCTGCAGCTCTTCTGCATCTCCTCTGCGGCTCCTGTCACAGCTGCTCCCTCCAGTGAAGTATCATTTTCCCCTGCCAAGGATTTAGACCTGACTTAGCCATCAATAGCTTTTTTAACCTAATTGATTCAAAGTAAAAGTGAAATGAAATCTTAAAGATAATGTGTTTGCATCATATCTTTAAAAAATTTAACAAACTGGTGGGGCTGTTTGCTTAAATATGATTTTTTTTTTTTCTGCTTTACATTTTACTTTCCAGGATAGGATGCTTGTGTATTTTGTGTTTCAGTAAAACAGAGCTGCTGTGTTTTCTCTGTCACTGTATGGAGGTACGCATCCCTGCATGTCCTCTTAGTTTGTGGCAGGCACCACCAGAGTTTCCTGTTGGTTTGCCCTTTTGTGAACTTGCAGGCGCGAATTATTCTCAGTGGGCTGGTTGCTTCATTGAGCTGCTCACCGCCTTTCCTTTCTTTATCCTCACAAAGGGACCCTTCAGCCTGTTAAGTCCTGACAGCCCTCCTCACCCTGAAACAGTGAGGAGGCATCGGATGACTGCAGCCCAAGACACAAAGGCCTCCCCCTCCCTTTCATAGCAGATGAGGGTTGTGATCCCAGAGTCTGGCCTTCAGGAATATGTAGTTCGGTTTCTGCATTTGTTAACGGAGGCTGGAGGCTGTAAAAGGTCTTTGTTGTACTCCTCCTTTTGTCTCTGCCCGGTGTATCCATTGTTTTGTCTGCTGCTTGGCATCAGCAGCAGTTTCTGCACCTGCACCTTGAGAGATGGTGTTTTTCCATTGTCAGGAAACATGTGTTCCCTCTAAATAATTACTTTTGTTCACAAATCACAAATCACAGCTCACAAACCAGGTGTTTCTTACAGACACACTGACTTTGAGAATGGTCTTTGCCTTGAATAAAATCAACATCAATTCCTAATCTGACTTCCTTTCTGTTCCCAGTAATTTTCAGGTCTTTTGGGTCTTAGGAATGTTTATTTGTGGCATCTCTAATGACCCTTTGCATGTAATGGATTTGCTGAGATTGTAGAGCAGTTTGGGCACCGTCATGACTAGAATCTTGTTATTTGGCAAAAGATGAGGGGATTAATTGTAAGGTCATTGAAAGAGGTCAGGTGGCTCTGAGGTGCTCTAGTTGTTAAGGAGCAGGTGTACTGGAAGAGTCCAGCATCCTTCACTTGTCCATGGTCACTGCAGTATGATAGTTATGGTTTAGCTAACCGGCTTTTCCTTCCTTCCCCTTCCCCTTCTCACCGGTAGCCAAGTTTCGTTCAAAGCTTAGTCTTATAAATCCTCACTCTAAACAGGGCTCCCCAGCCCTTCGGGTCCATAGTGAAGGGGGAAAATGATAGAGCACAACTATGTCTGTATTTTTGGGGGGAGGGGCATGGAATCAAATTCAAGACCTCACACTTTGCCAGTAAGGACTGCACCACTGAGCTAAATCCCAGGCCTACTTGATCCACATTTACAGCTACTGCCTGTCCCTCACATTAGCCTGTGCTCAACTCATGTCAGTGCAGTGATGGCATTAGATTCCTGTAAGAGTGTGAACCTACACTGTGAGGGATCTGGGTTGTAGCCCTCTTTATGAGCATCCTAATGCCTTGTAATTTGAGGTGGAGCTGAGGTAGTGATGCTAGCACCAGGAATGTAATGATCGTATATGAAAAGCATTAAAAAAAATACATCTCTACTCGTTCCTCCTGAAAAAATTGTCTTCTATAAAACTGACCAGTTCTGCTGTGAAAAGTTGGAGTACCACTGCTGTAAAGAATATAAAAAATAAAAAAGGACTTTTTCTGTGTCAGCTTTTCGTAGGTAAAAAAGAGTCATGTCTTGTATAGTTCAGTGAACTTCTGCATAGAGAGTGGCTGAAAGGATTAATATGTCATCTCAAGCCAGCATAGTTCTGATTACACTGTGGCAAAAAGGTGTTCTTTGGAGTTATTGCTTCTCACTTGTTTGGTCAGACATAGTAGCGTAACTGTTCAGAGCCTGATCTTGAGAGTCGGTGTCTGGTTCTCTCTACTGGCTGTGTGATGTTTGAGGAAGTTAATCTTTCTAGGCCTCAAAATTTCTGATGGGCAAATGGGGATGATGGTATTTACTCATAAATTTGCCATACCAAGTTTGTACGTAGCACTCAAAGTGTTTAATACTGTGCTAAGCAGTAAACATGTTAGCTGTTTTAAAAATCTGAACTATAACATTTGAATGTGTACTGTTAAATTTAATTTCAGGATCTAAAGACTTCAGACCTTCTTACTGTATTGATCAGAATATGTAGTTAAGTGAGAACACAGGTAGAAATGCTTAAATTGCTTAATCCTGTGATAAATTTAGTGGGAAACTTCAACTCCCAAACATAAATGCCTGTCTTTCAGAACTTTCTAGGCCACCCTTTGGCCCTCATGTGACATGTAGACTTGTAACTCCAATTTGAAGACTTTAGCATAGTGATACTCAAAGCATGAACTTATTTGAGTGCCACCAAGGTATATATATATATATATATATATATATATATATTTTTTTTTTTTTTTTTTTTTTAAATGTAAAATCCAGAGTTTCTGCACCAAATAGGCCAGAATCACAGGCACAAAGCCTGGGAATCTACGTTTTTAAGCAGCTTCCCTGGTGATTGTTATGGACACTGAAAACTGAGACCAGTTGGGGAAAGCAGTTGGCCCTAGATGCTCATTAGATTCACTTGGGAAGCATTTTAAACATACAGATGATTGGATGCCAGGCTTCATCATTCTGATACCATTGTCTGGGCTATGGCCCTGGGTATTAGCATTAACAGGTGGTTATGTTGTGTAGCTGGTGTGGAGAAGCAGCCCATTAGAAGACAGTTGGTACAGGGGATGGTTTACAGAGTTCCTTTACTGCGTTGTAAGCTGACTTGATACTTTGCAAAAGTCATTCCAGTACTTGCCAGGGTCTGGGAGGGAATGAAGGGTTACTTAAAGGGTGAAGATGGGCCCATGAAAGAAATCTTAGAAGTGGAGGTGGTCATAACTTTGTGTATATTTAATGCCACTGAACCTAAAATGGTTAACATGGCAAGTGTTATATATATTTTACCATGATAAAATACTGTAGCATTTCACATATCCTGAGTCTCATTTTGTTTTTTTTTTTTGGTTCTTTTCACAGTGAAAAGGTATCATGTATGCCACTGGTTCCAGGGGACAGTCCCCTGCTTTTGTACCTCAGAACGGAAGCAGTCATCGCTCACCTGGTTATGTTCCAGGGAAGGTTGTCCCCCTGCGCCCCCCTCCTCCTCCAAAGAGCCAGTTGCCAGCTAAATCCACCTCCATCAGACAGGAAGCCCAGCCGACCTTTGCATTCTCCCCTGAAGAACAGCAGATCCAGAGAGACAGCAGGAAGCAGAAGAGACACAAGAACACGTTCATCTGCTTTGCCATTACTAGTTTCTCATTTTTTGTTGCACTTGCAGTCATTTTAGGGATATCCTCAAAATACGCTCCAGATGGTAAGTGTGTGTGCATTCGCGTGCATGTGTGTGTTTGTGCCCGTGCATAAAGGGGAGGAATACTAAAGAACTTTTATTGCATTAATTAAGCTCCATTACTCAGGTAATATAAAGTGTAACTGCTTATAAATGAAGATAGTTATTCAAGGAATCCATTAGAAATTAGAAATTTGATTGGTCTTTTCTATTTTTCTACTTTGTCCTGGTACTCAAATTGTTCTTGGGACATCTTTTTTGGAAATGCTTTTAAGAATCTTTACTGAATTCTTCTGGTGACATACTTTTCGTCCTTTGTGACAGCCATTGTTCTTGGAATGCCAAAAAGGTTTGTTTGTTTATTTTGGTCTCAAGTGTAATAATAAACTAGATTTGATTTTTAAAAAATGAAGTGACCAAAAATAATACTTGTGTTTTGTGGTTTGAAATAGATTTGGTAATACACTTCCAAAAGAGGGGTTGTATTTTTGAGTTATACTGTATATCCTTGAAGAAAAATTTTTCACCAGGATGGTAACTTCTGATATTTTTGTCTAAAAATCATTTACTACATCATAGTTGAATGTCGTGTAGTGAGCTTTTAATTTCTTAAATGGTCTTTGCTTTTTTAAGAAATCAGATCATCAAAGAATTGCCTTATAAAAGAACCCAGTGTGTGGTACATTTTAGATATGTATCGTGATCACGTGATCATCATAAGGAATTTGGACCTGTACATGTTATATCTTGCTAGTTTTTTCCCCACCCCCTCCCCTTCCTTCAGTCCCTCCTCCCCTCCTGACTTACAAAAGCTTTGCTTCTGTTTTATCCTTCTGTTCTCTCTCTTTCTTGTCCCTTCTTTGCTTCACCTCAGCCCCATCCCTTGTTCCCCTTTCCATTTGAACATTTTCTTCCCACTTCCCAATATCTGTGGTATGCTTTGGCCCTTATTTATACTTTTGGTTTCTCTCTCACATCAGAAAAACAATGCAGTATTTAAATATATGTGTCCAGTTTATTTCACTTAAGAGTATAGTTTCAGGGTCATTCATTTAGCTAGGAAGTTTCAAGCTTAGCCTTCATTAGGGCAGAGAAGTATTCCATTGTATAAAAACCCCCACATCTTCTTTATCCATGTATTAGTGGATGGGCACTTCGCTTGTTCCCAGGATTAGCTACTACAGACTGTGTGGCTATAAATACGGGTGTGCAAAAACAAAACACAACAACCCAGTGTATCTGTCTAAAAATCAGGGTGCTGGAGGTGATAGAGAATCACACTATTACAACCTGGATTGGGCCCCAAATACTTCTCTGTGTTTTAAAAAATGACATCTACAACAGATTTTTGTCAAATTAGATGTATTTTGTCAAATGGCTGCAGCAGCTGAGGAGCATCACGCTATGTATAAGACTTAGAAACACTATTCAGGTTTTCATGGGTGATGTGGAGAATTTATAGGCTGTGAGGTCCACATGGGATAGAGGACAGGGACATAGGCTAATATTCCTAAGAGAATAGACTGGAAGTAAGAGAGATGCTCATATTAAGTAACATCTTTGTTGCCACAGCCAAGCAGACCACACTATGAATTTGTAACATTGATTCCATTGCTCGCAGTGGTACTGTACTAACTTCCTGTCTCTTCTTCCCAGTGGACTGGCCAGTTTCACTGCTGTTGACTTGTCCTTTCTAAGGAATCTGCACTAACAGCATGCCCGACTGGTGGGAAATAGGGGCTTAAAGCTGTGGTTTTCTGGGATGTTAAATTGCTGATGCGGTTCCTTGAATCAGCATTCTTCAGTTTCACATGTTGGCAGTGTAAGTGCAGACTATCAGTGGAAAGCTCTGGTATGCTGAGGTGGTTCGGAGCCAGCCTCGCTGTGGTTTTTGCTGTTACAAAGCACTCAACTGCTCTGCCAGTGGGTAGCCAGGAAGGCAGGGCTGCCTGAGCTATTTTTCAGTGCTTTCTGTACACCATACATTTCCTATTAAGTAGATTTTATTAGAAGAAAACAGACTGGAATTTTTGGTGACTGTTCTGGTGAAGTATACTCTCTTAGGGAATAATTATTAAAATAATTAAGAGAAATTATGTAACTACAGTAGTAGGCTCTGAATCTCAAGCCTGGGTTTCCACTGCACTGGTTGAGTACAGTGTTTGTTACATGGGGCATGGATTTGCCTTGTAAATAACACCATAGAGAATTCAGCTAAGACATTTCATGGGATGACAGGGAGGCTGAAGAAAAGTTTAAGAAATCCTCACTATTAAGTCAGAAAAATTTTGTGCATTCTTATTTCTTTGATGAGAAGAAAAATTGAAGTATTATTTTTACTTTTATTATTTTTTTTTGCAGGGCCAGGCATCGACCCTCATGCATGCTAAGCAAGGAGTCTACCACTGAGCTATACCCCCACTATTAGAATTGTTAATAGTATAAGTGATGATCCAATTATCAATTTTGTAATTCTGTGAGAAAAATTAAGCCCATGAAATAATGGCCAAGGCCTTAACTAGTGAGGCTGATTTTAACTGTAGTTACTGTCACCTCTATGAGGAAACATAAGCCTAAGGCAATGTAAGTGTTTTGAAATATGATTGCATCAGGGTTATGCAAGTTCCGAGTGAGGACTCAGAATGAATAATCTTTTTTGTGTGTGTGGTACTAGGAGTTGAACCAAGAGAGTGCTGAGCTACACTGCTAACCCTTTAAGAAAACATTTTTATTTTGAGCAAGACGTCATTGTATTGCCCTGAGTGGCCTTAAAATTGGGATCTTCCTGCCTGCATTGGCTCCCAGGCAGGGTGGCACATGGCAAAGGGGCAACCATACATGATGGCAGAAGACAGCAAAAGCGGCAAGCTACCTTAACAGTGTCTTTCTGCCCCATTTGTACTGTAACTAGGATGCTGCAGTTAAGGCTGTGCCAAACTAGTCACTGAATTATCACACACATGTAATCCCAGAGTCACACATGATAGGTTCCACCGCCTTTAAAAAGCTACTTCCCCATGACTGTGTGAGGCTTGGGAACATCCAGACACAAACCATAACATTCTGCCCCTGGGTCCCCAAAGACTCATGCACATTTTTTTATTCAAAAGGCATTAGGTGCATCACCAAGAGTTGCCAAAGCCCATAGTTTGAGCCTTGCTGAAAAGTTTAAGTCCCAAGTCTCCTATGAGATTTAAGGCAAACTCTTAGCTGTGAGCCCCAGTACAAATGGAAAGAAAGTTAAACATTTCTGACTTCAGTGGTACAAGATAGGTATTTCCAGTCCAAAAGTTGCAAACAGGGACACAAAGGAATGGGACCATGCAAGTCCAGAATTCAGTAGGCCAGACATTAAGTCCTATAGCTCCATGTGTAGCAGCTGAGGCAATCTGTGGCCAGTTGTGAGCTCCAAAGGACTTGGGTAGCTCTGCCGGACAGCACTTGCAGCAGTTGTAGCTCCCATGGCTTCTCCCTTGACCCTACTTTACTCCTCCCTTCCAGATTTCCTCAGATGATTCATGCTCCTGATGTCTTCAAACTTCTGGGGGTCTCCACTGCATCCTCAGCTTCATACTCATAGCTTTTGGAATGGAGTGCTCTGGGGCTCTCCTGGAAGGAAAGGCTTTCACTTTTGCAATTTTGAGGAAGGGTGGAGTCCTGTTGCTTCTTGTGATACCCTCAGGCCATCTTTTCTATTTTCCTCCTCCTCAGCAATCAAGATCTCCTTTGCTCTATCTTTGCAGTCCACAGCTGTGCTGAAACTTCCTTTCTGGTCTGACTCACAAGGTTTTAAGTCATTCTTTTGGGCCCTTTGCTTTTGATTCTCAACATAAATCTGGCCAAAAGCCCCAACAGTAGCCCTGCCACCGGGCTGCATGAGGCTTGGGTCAAGGGGGGCAGGCATCTAGACACAAACCATAACAGAATGCTGTCTTCAGCCCCTGCCTTGGAAGAGGTGCTGGTATTGCCAGCTTTGTGATTCACTGTGCATAGGCAGAAGCTTGTGACTATGTAATACACATACAGTTTAGCAATTTTCATTTACCAGTGTGTTGTGATTTTTATTCTTATTTTTGTGGTGGTGCTGGGGATTGAATCTAGGGCCTCATGTATTCTAGGGGAATGGTCTACCACTGAGCTCCATAACCAAACCCATATTTTCTTTTTCTAAAACAGCTTTCTAGTGTGAGTCCAGGGCAATCATAATTTTCCCTCCTATTGTTGGTTTATTTCCAGAGTAGATAGTTCAGGGAAACTCCATTTTTACCTTCTGCAGTTTGACCTGAACTATATATGCTAGCAACTGAGTTCTATGGTAGTAACTTTTTTTTTTTTTAAAAACTGTTCAAGTAAAGTTTATGACATTTCTCTGGTGAATGAGAAGGGTAAAATTTTTATCCTAATGGCACAAAATCCAAATGTTTCAGTACCTTACTTGGAGATCTTTTTTTCAGTGATAATAATGCTTGGATTTGGCTGCTGGTACTTTTGCTTTTGCTTGGATTGGATGGGATATCAATGCTGTGTTGTTTTATAGAGAATTGCCCAGATCAAAACCCCCGTCTCAGGAACTGGGATCCAGGACAAGATTCTGCAAAAAAAGTTGTGATTAAGGAGGGTGATTTATTCCGTCTGACCTCAGATGCCACAGTGAATTCGATAGTCATTCAGGATGGAGGTGGGTAATAGTCCTTGACCATAGGAGCCACAAATGTGGCCTTGATTGTGATGGTTGCTTGATGTTTTTTATGTGGAAATCTGCTCTTAAATTGGATGTGTCACTCTGTGGGGATGTGTGTAGTTCCTAAGTTTGAATCATAGAATTGAGGAGGTATAAGGACCTTAGAAATAACTCCCCACCTGAATTTATAGACCATGAACAAGACAAGTGATTTCTCATAAATGAATCTTTGTTATACCTGATAGAGAAACAGTTAACACAGGTTACTGCCATAAACGAGATTCAGGTTTGTAGATTTTTAGGTATGTTTTCTAGAAATAATTTGTCTCTAAAGTGCATAAGTGAATACCTCTATAGTGAAATTCATATTCTTGAATATCTTTAGTATGTTGAGAAATTAACTCCTCTTTTTTTTCTTTATGTTGAAAACTAGTTTAGTTTTCTAAACATACCCTTAGTAAATTTTGCCACCTTAATTGTGCAAAAAAATATACATATATCCTTTAAAAAAAAAAAATATATATATATCCTTAAAGTGAAATTGATTTTTCTACAACGTAGGAGGATGTTTAAGGAGTTGACTTAGCATAATGTCATTCCCTGCAGGACTGCTTGTATTTGGGGATGATAAAGATGGATCCAGAAATATTACTTTGAGGACTCGTTACATCCTAATCCAGGATGGTGGGGCGCTTCATATTGGAGCAGAAAAATGCCGCTATAAATCCAAAGCGACAATTGCTTTGTATGGCAGGTCAGATGAAGGTGAAAGTATGCCAATATTTGGCAAAAAGTTTATTGGTGTAGAAGCTGGTGGGACACTGGAGTTACATGGGACAAGGAAGACATCTTGGACGTCATTGGCACGGACTCTGAACTCTTCAGGCTTGCCCTTCGGGTCCTACACCTTTGAGAAGGACTTTTCCCGGGGCCTCAATGTAAGGGTCATTGACCAAGACACAGCCAAAATTTTAGAGAGTGTGAAGTTTGATACTCATGAGTACCAAAATGAGAGTCGGAAACTTCAGGAATTTCTGAGAGTCCAGGACCCAGGACGAATTGTTGCCATAGCAGTCGGAGATTCAGCAGTCAAGAACCTCTTACAAGGAACTATCCAGATGATCCAGGATCGCCTGGGAAGTAAGCTGATCCAAGGACTGGGCTATAGGTAGGTGAGCCTTGCTCTTACTCCGCAGCCCTGGGTGAGAGCCCTGTCTGTGAGAGGCGAGAGGGTGGAGAAAACCCGCAGCGCCCCACAACCTGGCCACTCCGCTTGGGTTTGCTTTGGCCTTGAAATTTGGGATTGGACAGTTGTAAATGGGCTACAAAAGCTCTTGTCAGGGATTTGATTTATGAAGTCTTTGGTGAGCTCTCCTGTCACATTTGTGAAAAGAACAGAAATATGGTACTGAAAAAGAAATGTTACTTTTGAAGAAACTTTCTTCTTTCACTACATTCTGGCTAACTTAGGCAGCTTAGGACTTGAAAGGTTGGGGCATAGTTCTCTGCTAAAAGGATAACCTGTTATAGAAGCCCAGTGAGGTGGGAGGTGCTCAGTTTTCTTTTCTGTAATTTTTTTCTGAATCTTTTGCATGCTAATTTGAATCTACTTGTTTGATTGGCTCTATCTATGGAGTTTGACAAATGTGAGGAGGCAAAACATGGGGGAACTAAAAAATCCGTTCAGACAGAATTTATCTGTACTCTGTGATTTTTGTGCCATCTGCTTATTAACTATGAGTTCCTAACATGGTCTTGAGTCCTGGTGCAATGTTTAATTCAGAAAACAGAAGTTGTAGTTCTGCTGAAAGTTAGGAAATACCTGCAATGTGAAAAGTCCACATACTGAAGTGACCTAGTTTGCTTTTCCTGTGATGTTAGGTTATTGAATGTACTATTGGCTACAGAAATTTTAGAAGACGAAAGTTAGTAAAGAAAAGGAGTCTGTAAGACTTTTAGAAATGACTTTTATTCACCTTTTTTTTAAAGAGTAACTTCAGAAGTATGTTGTGTAGACAGCAAAGAAGAAAAGTTTTCTGTTTAACAGAGTACCATGGGCAAAATTTTGGAGTTTTTTTTTTTTTTTTAATATGTATACAAAAAAGGGCTAAAAACAAGGATGTAGTGATTTAGCACAATGCAGTACCTATATAACCACCATCTAGGTCAGGAAATAGAAAATTGCCTTTCACCGAGCTATGAACTGATTGCTTTCTTCCTACCGACAGCCATTCTTACATTCATGCGATACACTGAAATTTACTCTGCCTGTTTTTCTAACTTCATAAATTGAAGCAGACAATATGTTTTATGTCTAGTTTTTTGTGTTCTGACATTCAGCATTGTGTTATTTCATTGTCATGTATGTTATTTTGTGTAGTGCTGGCTCATTTTTGTTGTTTATTTTCTATTTTATGAATGTGCCGTAATATATTGACTGGTGGACACCTGAGTGGCTTTCCAGTTTGGATCTGTTACAAGAAATACTTCTCTAAATGTTCCTTTCTCATCTCTCAATGAACATGCACATGTATTTCTATAATTTATGCACTTGGAGTGGAAGCATGGTCTTTTCAAGTGAGGCACACACTGTGTTGGTCAGCTCTCTGTTATTGTGACAGGATGCCTTAGATAATTGACTTCTAAGAGGAAAGTGTTTATCTTGGCTCATAACCGTGGTCACTTGGCTGTCACATTGAGCCTATGGCTCAAATGCGGCTGAAGGGACTGGGTCCCTGTATCCCCGTCAGGGTACTTAATGATTTAAAGCCCTCCCTCCTAAAGGTTCTCTCAGGACACTGTCATCTGGGGATCAAGCCTTCAGCTCATGAGCCTTTTGGAGTCGTTTAAGATGCAAACCGTAAAAACCACTAATGAGTTACCTGGTAGCGTTGGGGATTACAGTGTCTATTTCCTTATGTTATCTTGGTTTCTAGATTTGCATGATCACCAGTATGACTATTTTGACTTTGGTTATTTTGCCTCGCTGTATTGTACTGCTTTCTAAATTCCCTTTGAAATACCATCACTGTTTGGGTGGAGGAATTAGAATTGTGAGCTTTTGCTAACCCTGCATTCCACTGACATTTATCGCTTGTGTTCACAAACACACTCCTTTGAAGACAATGTTCTAGTGTGTTGAAATTTTCCTCAAGTGGAGGAGGGAAGTGAAGTATTTTGGAGATAGTGTCAGTAGAATACAAAACTGTTTTATAGTTGCTGAGACAGTTCCGGTATTAAAGGACATCTCTGACAGTCTTCTTTTTCTCTGTTAAATATGAAATAATAAATTGAGACATTTGGTATTAGATCCTTCCTGCTGTGTCAAAGGAGTAAATAGATAACACTGTCAGCCAAAGAGTCACTGATCTGCACAGGGGTGGTGTGGAATTTTACGGGCGTGGGCATGCTTTGGGTTAATTTTTAACCAGTGTCTATTCAGCCATCTGTCTGACACAGATAAGGTTTTGTATTTTTCCCTTAAGGTAGGAAGTTGATCGTTTTCTTTTCATGTTTTGAACCAAGAGCTTCAGGGCAAATGTTCAGGCTTTTTGTTGTGTTTTTCTTCTTTGATCAGTTCTGGCCACAAGCTTGAACAAGTCTGTCAGATAATGCAGCTTCACAAAAGTAAAATGGCATTTTAACAGAATGCCATTTCACCAAAGACTCAACAGTGTATAACATGAAAGTCTGTTAGAAGAGTGATTCTGCAGGTTTAAATGTTAAGAAACCTCTTACTCTGCTTTGCAACCTTTTCTGCACACTGGAAATGTTAAAAAATCCTGATCCCTGGTGCCAGTCTTGGATCAGGATCTCAAAGTGTAAGATGCTTTGGTGATTGAAGGTTAATAATTTCTGGTCTACCTTCTAGGATCTAATTTAGGTCTTCTGTAAGTGTGGTCCCCTGACCAGCAGCATTGACATCGCTTGGAAACTTGTTGGAAAGGCAGATTCCCCAGTCCCACCTGGGATATTCAAAGGTGGGATCTAGCAATCTAATCCCTCTAAAAGGCAAACCTTTTAGCGCTTTCAGTGATACAAAACCCTCTGTGCACATGTGCCATAGGTTTGCTGCCACTACTGGGTGATCCTGAGGCTAACTGGAGTTTCAGAATCATTGCTCACATTCAGTGGTTCCAGGTCTAGATCCTCCTGATTACCTGGAGGAGTACAGTAAGTGTACTCTTACTGAGCCTGCCCTTTAGATACCAGCTTGGCTCTGAGCCTTGGTATGTATTACATATTTATGAAAAGCTCATGTGATTCTGTTACGCAGCTGGGTTTCTGAGACTATTGCGGAGGATAGTTTGAAAGAGAAGTCGATCATCGTTTTGAAGGAAAGGCCCTGAGTGTGACTAGAACGCTGTGCAAGTGAGATGGGTGTGCAGCAGGGTAGGAAGCCTGTGATTAATTGAAGTCACAATGTTTTATCTGTTACAGAGCTGGATAAGGAAGTACTCAAAAATCAAGAGTGTTTTATTTCTGTGATGTTGATTATTTTGATCAAAGTTTGGTGTCGCAACCTCATGGGAAAAAAGAGGCTTAGGGACCAGCAAAAGTGAGATGCAGGAATTAAACAGCACCTCTCCACACATCTCAGTCAAAGACTTGGGTCAACACTGTGATAAATAATCACATGTGCACCCTGTTTCCCTTCTAGGCAACCCTGGGCGTTAGTTGGAGTCATTGATGGCGGAAGCGCTTCTTGCAATGAATCTGTGAGATACTATGAAAACCATAGCAGTGGTGGCAAGGCGCTTGCCCAAAGAGAATTTTATACCGTGGATGGTCAGAAGTTCTCCGTGACAGCTTATAGTGAATGGGACAAAGGTAAGCTTTACTGTAATCTACACTTTTGTAAATTATACAATAATTTTGTATAATTATGATTTTGTAAATTATCACACTGGTAAACAGTGTGATAGATTTTTTTTTAAGGTATAATGTGTTCCTATCCCAGTCTGTCTGGTTGATTTCTCTACCAGTTGAAACTTGTATCCCTGCTGTATGTTAAGTCTTTCACACTTGAGAGTTTTTTCTGGACTAGAGAATGATCTATTCTAGTTTGGGTATCCCCAGTTGAACTTTGTTCTTGATATTTGAGTTGAGCTACAGAGTGTGATTCGGTAGTAGAAATGGACTTGCTTCCGGGGTTTGGTGCCAGCTGAACCAATTTGAATGTGACGAGGTGAGCTGTCTTTGCGTATGTGCTTTGGTGGTGAACATGATTTATCCTTTGAATCTTCATGCTGACAAACCAGCAAATAATACCTTTGAACACAGGCTGTGTATACAGACTTTGCATTTACCTGGCAAGTTTTACCCTCTGATACAGCTAACACATTTATCTATGGACAAATCGAAAACAGGAGAGCTACACACTAAAAGTGAATCTTCAGCCCATTTTTTCAGATAATTATTTTATTGCACAGTGTTCTAGGATTTAAAGAAGTCTTACGTATATTCTCCCTATTTTTTTTGTTTTGACTCATTTTCCTAAAATAGTTATTTTATGTCTTCAAATGTTATTAGAATACATGTTTTAATTCTGGCACAGGTTGTTTGGGGAGCCCCTGATTTTTTCTTTGAAGGCCACTGTGAAATTTTATGGTTTACTTATCTTGCTGTGTGTGGCTGCCACCTTTCTTTTCCAAGTAAATATGTTACCAGATTAACATAGAGTGAGTAAAATCAAGGGGCACTAATTGCGTCTCTAACTGCCCACAAAGCTTTGTTTACACTGGGATCCTACCTCTATTTCAAGCAGCAATGTGACAAAGTGTTTACTAATAAGGATTTCTGGTGACAGAATGTTGGGACTCCTGCCCCAGCTCTTTCACTTACTGATTTTACTCCCTAAATCTCATTACCTGTCTGATGAATAGGGCCACAGGAAACCTGCATGTAGGGCTGCCAAGGGTAGCAGATGTGAAGATGTGGAGTTTCCAGTGCAGTGTGTGCGGTAAGAAGACGTGTTGATGGTGCAGAGGGACTTGAGTTACAGTGGTTTATTTCAGTCACTGTGTTTAAGGACTGTCTTTCGCTTAATAGCAGATAGAGTCTTTAGAGTGCAACTGGAACATTTTCATGTGGCCTCCAAGAAACCTGGGTTTGGGGTGAGACAGTGCTGTCAGGTAGGAAGGCATGGTCCAGCTTTCTCCTTCCCACCAGAAGGCCACTTGTTCTACACTGTTGTTGCCTTTGGCAAAAGGTCCAGGCAGGTGAGGAGCTCCCCTGAGCAGGGTTTGCTCCTTTGAGAGGAGTTTACCGCCTGCTTCCAGGAAGTGGATGATTCCTGACCCATCTTAAGTCAGCCCTTCCTGTGTAGGAAATGTCATCTTTATTCCCACAGTACCAGGGCCCCTCCTTCCTGGGCGAGGGCCATCCGAGCTGTGTGTCATAGGCCATTGTCTCATCCCATGTTCCCGTGACTCTTACTCCCTGGAAAAGGTGGACATTCTCTCCAGGAAGCCGGGAGACTGAACTGACTTCCTTTTAAGTTTCCAGTTAGTAGTGCTAATAAGAGGTAACCTCAGGCAGAATTTTCTTCTAAAGCAAGAAAAAAAAGTGAATTACTGAGCAGTGTAATCTTTTCTATTTAATTTTATTTTTTAACAGATAAGTGATCTTTCAAGTCAGTACTTACCTAGTAGTCATCTCAGTACTTATCTAGTAGTCATCTTTTTGAAGAAGTATTGAAGTTTTACATAAAACAGTGTTTTCTAGTTCTTTTTTAAGACAGGAATTTTTTTTTTCTTTCATTCTTTTTGGGTAAAACTTCACATTTTGGGAAATGATTGTTGCTCCCATGAATTGTTTTTTTTTGGTGCTGGGGATCGAACTCAGGATCTTGTGCTTGCTAGGCAGGCACTTATGCTGCTACTCTTAATCCCCAATCCATGAATTTTTTTTTTTAAATCTTTGTTTTTAAGCTGCCTTTTTATTCTTAAAAGACAGAAGACAGTATAACATAGAGTAAAAACTTGGGTTCTGGCAGTAGGTTAAAATTCAGTTCTGGAAGCCACCTTTATTTAGCTGCTGTTTTAGTTGTTATTCAAACGCCTAGGACTTTGGTTGCTATATTTCTAAGGAATATAATTTTTTCTAATCTCTGATGGTGGTTTTATAAAGGTTATTATACATGTAAAATTCCAACAGATGTTAGGTGTTATTATAATTGTTAGGATTATTATTTGTATCACTACTGGGATAAAAATCCCATTATAGGCTTTGGTATTTAGATGCAGGAAATTAAAAAAAAATGTATTGTTTATTAGGTTGTGTGTGATATATGCTTGGTAAAAGTATAAAAGCAAGGCAGTTTGGAATCTCAAAGAACAGAATCCAAGAGTTTGCCATGTTCAGTTTTATCTGGGTGGTGGGCTTAACACTTGAAGGCTATTTATATTATTCCTGGTTCCTTATCTGAATTTTCTTCTTCAGATGCTACTAATCTCAGTAAATGTATTCTTTAGCTTACGTCGTTGTGCTTTAGAGTCATCTTAGTTCCGGGGTGGTATGTAGTTGGGTAGGTAGATGGAGAAGTACATGTATTTATAAAATAACTGTCTTTACAAGGTGGCAGTAAGGTTTTCCCTTCTCTACGGATGCTATAAAGTAGCTGTGCATTACTGTGAGATGAGCTTTTGAATCAGGCAGAGAACATCATAGACATTTAGAAGCAGGAAATGCTTCTTTATCAGGTTGCATATGAAAGAAATGTAAGTGATGATTAACCTGGGTTAGCTTGGGTTCCTGTTTATGTAATTGACAACCAGGTTTTTTTTCTTACTCGTACATGAAGTTTACAGTCACCTTGGGAGCGGCTGCTGTGCATCATTAATAGCTTATTTTTTTAAAATTAATTCTCTTGCCCTTCCCATCCATTTTTCTCCCTCCTTCTCTAAATCTCTATTTTTGTTCTTACTGATATTATGAATCCTAGCTCCTGTCTAGGAGATATATGACTTATATTTACTGAGGTTGTTAGGCTCTTGGACATGGTAGATCTTCATTTTACTTATGTTCCTCTCCCCACTTCTCTTGCTCTGGATCATAATGGAAAACTACTTGGCTATAAAGAAGGACAAGTTGGAAACATTGGTAGGACAGTGGATACACCTGGAAAATAAGCTGTTGTGTGCGTGAATCAAGACACCCACGCTTAAATGCCACATAGCAGTGGTGGCGAAGCTAAGGCAGATGTGCTGCAGTGGACTGTTCGTTATCATTGAAAGCTCTGCGAGGCTCCCCATCACTGCTGTGTAGCGTCTCTTAGTGGATACAGCAAGTACAACAAGGAGCATAATAAAGGATGGACAGAAGGAATCGAGGGGCAGATCTCTTACAAATGGGACAGGGTCTGGTAGTAGACTTGAGAATAAGTTCTGAATTTCAAAGGAGGTGTTAGGAGAGATTAGTCCATTAGCAGTTCTCACTCATCATCAGCGGACCTCTGCACTGCAGCGGAGACAGCAGTGACTCCAGGGCGGCCTCACCTACCGACTTCAGGGAGGTGGGCTGTCTTCCTCCCACTGCTGGGAAGGAAAGACTCATACTTAAGGCAGTGCATGAGCCCAGAAAGAAATGTTAGTTTGGCAGCGAAGACTGGGGAATCTTTAAAGATCTGCCTGGAGTTTATGAAGGTGAATGGTGTCTTGACTGGTAGATCAGAGTGGAAGGACATTTTAGGTAAAAGCACCTGTGTATGCCCTGGCACCTTGTTGAGGACTCAGAAGAGGAGGTGACTCGCCTTGACCAAACACTGACTTTGTGGGTGGCTTGACCTTGGGCTTCATTGTCTCTAGAACTGGGAAGAATAAATTTCTCTTCTTTATTTGGAGAAGGAGAAAACATAAAGACACAGAAATGAATCATTTTCTGAGCTAATGTTGAGACTGTGTGCTGAAGAGCTGTCTCTTCAATGCTAGATCAAACCGAGGGCTGGAGCATTGATTCCACACAGATCTGTTCTGTGCATGGACGCTTCTGTCACTCAAGAGTGATGTGTTCTTGTTCCATGTTAAGGTTGAGGACAGGATTTTACTTCTACCACTGAGCTGAAATACAAGGGATCTGGAAATTGAGGCTTAAAAGATTTAAAAGAATATTTTACTAGGCAATGTCCAGCATCCCAGCTAGGATTGCATGGAGCTCTCTTTCCTTGAGGGCTAGGGTCTGTATTTTCATGTTTTTGTTATTTATATCTACAGACACACTGGCACATGCTTAGCATTAATAAAAAAAATCGCTGAATTGTGTTTACCTTATCTTTTGATTTATGAATCAAGGAGAGGAGAGCTTTTAGAAAAAAAAAATTCTATTGATGTATATTTTCTTTTTTCTGTTTTTGGTGTAGGGGTTTCGCTTTCAGGTTTCCGGGTGGAGATTGTGGATGGAGTGAAGCTTCACCTGCTGGACGACGTTAGCAGTTGGCAGCCGGGAGAGCGGATTGTGGTTGCAAGCACAGATTATTCCATGTACCAAGCTGAGGAGTTCACGCTTCTCCCCTGTCCGGAGTGTAGCCAATTTCAGGTCAAGGTCAAAGGTATTAAGATGCTCAGAATACTGTGTAGGCAGAACACTCTTTTCTTGGAACTTGACTCTTGGACTCCATCATCATCATTGTCATGATCATCATCAGCAGCAGCACTGATAGTTAATATTATCATCATCAATAATAAAAACCTTGGGGCCGGATTTAGCTCAGCAGCATAAGCGCCTGCCTTGCAAGCGTGCAGTCGTGAGTTTGATCCCTGGTACTGATTAAAAAAAAAAAAAAAAAAAATCTTAGTGGGGTGGTGGCCAATGCCTATAATCCCAGCACTCAGGAGGCCGAGGCAGGAGGATTGCCATGAGTTTGAGGCCAGCCTGAGCTGCATAGTGAGTTCAAGCTCACATTGAACTGAGCTACATTGTGAGACCCTGTCTCAGAACAAAACAAAAAGTCTTAGCAATGGGGTTCATTAAACTCTGGATCCCAGAGGATTGTATCGTAGTTTTGCCATTAATGATACATAGCTAGCAAATCAGTGTTTGTGTGCCTCACTTTCTTGGTTTAAAAAAACAAAACCAAAAACCTGGATTAGATGAATAGATTTTTCCAAGGCCCTTTATAATCTTACAAATTTTGCACTACAGTGTAGTAGTCCAATTATCAACTAGATCAATTTTGAAGTACAAGTCTTTCTTCATTAAAAAAAAATTACAAGGGTTTTAAATGTTTTGTTTATTAAGAGAACTCATTAGTATTTAAAATGGAACCAAATAGGTATTTTTCAAAGACTTTTACTTTCTACTATGATCTTGAAAAATACCCTCCCCCTCTAGTACTGAGGATTGAACCCAAGGACCACTGAGCTCTTTTTATTTTGAGTCAAGGTCTCATTAAATTGCTTAAACTGGCCTCAGACTTGTAATCTTCCTGTTTCAACCTCCTCTGTAGCTGGGATTACAGATGTATACTACCACACTCGGCTCTGATGTTTAATAATATGTAAACGGATCATCGGCATAAGCAACGCACAGACATAAACCTAAAATTCAAAAGTGAGAGACCACCTAAAAGTCTGGTGACACCGGCTAGCATTACTGTTTGTGTTTTTTTAGATATGTATTGTTGTCAGTTAGCCTACGTGACACTAAGCCTATCAGAGAAAAATGCATTATTAAAAACTTAGGAACTTCCAGTAAAGATAGAAATTTAAAAGAACTTACAATGCGATTAAATATCAAAAGTAAATAGGCAAGAAAAGATAGTGATTTCTGTGTGGGTCTTTTCCAGATGCAGATTACTGTAGCTCTGAAATAGAAGCGTGAAAACTTCATGCTCTGATATCACTATCTGTAAAATCTTTTGTTCCTATGAACTTACCTGCAGCTGGCTCTTCCATGCTCTCAGAGTGCAGGAATTGGAAACAGTGTGCATTGTTAGACTGGGGAGCTTCAGGAAGGAGCAGGCTTTCTGTCAGCGCCTGGGCTTAAGGACTGGCAGAGCAAGCGGTAGTGAGGATTCAGGCTGTGGGCAGGTGATTGGACGAGGTCGTCTTTCAAATCGCTGCCCCCTAGAATTCAGTGATTGAGAAGTATTCAGGAATGAGAGCAGGCAGTAAGTTGTTGAAATGCTCTACGGCTATAGAGTAAAGAAGAATGTCTCTGTGGAAGTGGCTCCTGTTTTTGGTTTTTGCTCCAATATTCTTTTTTTCCCTCAATCAGAAACTCCGCAGTTCCTGCACATGGGGGAGATCATAGATGGCGTGGACATGAGAGCAGAAGTTGGAATTCTTACTCGGAATATTGTGATCCAAGGAGAAATGGAGGACGCATGTTATGCTGAAAATCAGTGCCAGTTCTTCGATTATGATACCTTTGGGGGACATGTCTTGGTAGGTGAAAGGACTTGATTTCTTTGAAATCCCTGTTTCTGTGCACATACATATGAAGACACTTTCAAGTGAAATGTATTTCAGTATTAAGAGAAGTCATGTTGTATTTCTCTTTTAAATATCATGAGGCACTTTTAAAAAGTTAAAACAGAATGTTGTACCTTACCTGGACTTGTAGTTTGACTATTTAAGAATTGTTCCAGGGGCTGGGATTTAGCTCAGTGGCATAAGCACCTGTCTTGCAAGCAGGCAGTCAAGAGTTCGATCCCCGGTACTGGAAAAAAAAAAAAAAAGAATTGTTCCAGCAAGAATTAAACTGATATGTTGGGAAAGACCCAGTTCTATAGAGAGAAAAACATAAATGGTCTTTGGTGTCCATGCATGAAGTTTCTGAAAGAATCAGTTCTTTTAAAGGTGTATTACTAAAGAGTAAGCAATGCTAATATGCACACATAAGATACACCTCTGTAAAATACTCTTTCATGTACAGATTTTTACCATGTAAAAATATTGAGCTCTTCCCCTGTGTTACACAGTATTATATACCTAAGCTGTTGCACTTCAGGTCTGTGCTTTGGATGTGCATGTTAGTCTGCCATGTTGCACTCATTTTTCGGAACTGTTGGGCAGCCTTAGTCTCTTGCTTTTAGTTATAAGATTAAAAGTACATTGTTTAAACACTGAGCGTGTCCAAACTTTGGGTCATAAAGGAATTTTAAAAAGGATTCATACAAACAATATTATGTGCTAATCTAAAACACTGTAGAGCATTTACATTTAGATATAAGTAATATCAAGTAGCCGTTGGGTTTAGAAAGAACTAGGTAAAGACTTAAGAGTGACTGTAATACACAGAGTCCCTGACTCTAATTTGTCCATTTTAAAGATAGCATACAAATGACACGCATGTAGTGGACACCTTACTTCTGGTTCACAATTTTGATGTTCCCATACTAGTGATAAGGCACTTGGGTATTTAAGTGCTCGGCAACTCCTAGTCAGCTTGTGATCTCCAGGGGTGACAACCCGGACTCTACAGTGTGCTGTTTTGTTAAACGGTGATGTTTAGTAAGTTAGGCACCATAAATGCATTTTTGACGTAAAAGAGGATTTTCAGATGAGCAATGATTTTATCAGAACATAACCTTATTTTTATTCATTCAGGAACATCTATATTTGAGCAGGTCATTTTTGTGACTTTCTTGGTTATACCCATGTTTCAAGTTAGAAACTCTGTGACTTGTAAAAGCATACATCTGTGTAAAAAGCCATTTGCTGAATTATTAACTGGAGATGTGGGAAAACAGAATGCTAAAAAAAGTAAAGTTTTAATGCACCCCTACCTAAGGTGTTTCTATTAAAACACTTCTATTCATTTGTTTGCTGTGTTCTTGTTCTGATTTTGGTTTCCTTGTCTGACAGATAAAGAAGAATTTTACTTCAGTCCATCTTTCTTACGTGGAATTGAAACATATGGGTCAGCAGCACCTGGGGCGGTACCCGGTACATTTCCACCTGTGCGGAGACGTGGACTACCGAGGGGGGTACAGGCACCCGACGTCTGTGGATGGCCTGTCCATCCATCACAGCTTCTCCAGGTGCATCACAGTGCATGGGACTCACGGCTTGCTAGTAAGTAGGCCCCGACTCAGACGGCAGGTGTCACTGATCACTGTCATGGGAACTGCCTTTGATTCTCTGCCTTCTCGTTTCTTCATAAGGAAACTATTTTATCGAGTGCCTTGCTGTCACCTACTCTTACTGAGGATTCTGCTGTTTATCTGGAGGAAGCCTACGATTTTTTTACCATCCAACATACTCTTCTAAGGGGGAAATGAACCCTAACATTTGACTTCATCCATTCTGCCAAGATTAAAAACGTCTTTTTGCACTTGTACTGAGTGTGTTAAATTGAGTAGCAATTGTCACTTACATCTTAATCAGTCTTGTTACCAGTGACACTGTATACTTGTGTTTCTGCAGATAAAGGACACCATTGGATTTGACACACTAGGTCATTGTTTCTTTTTGGAAGATGGTGTTGAACAGAGGAATACTTTGTTCCACAATCTCGGGCTGCTCACCAAGCCAGGCACTCTCCTCCCCACCGATAGGAACAACTCCATGTGCACTGCCATACGAGACCGAGTGTTTGGAAATTATGTCCCTGTGCCTGCCACGGACTGTATGTGAGTAATGACTGAGAGATCATGTGTGTGATGATCAAGCCTTTGACCTGGGGGAAGATGTTGTGGGAAAGCTGTTTGCGGGCAGGATTTTCTTTCTTTTTTTTTTTTTTTGGTCTTTTTCATTTTTATCGGCACCAGGTACTCATGACTGCTTGCTTGCAAGGCAGGCGCTTATGCCCCTGAGCTAAATCTCCAGTGCGGGCAGGATTTTCTGAAGAATGTTTAAATCACCTTTGACAATGCCTTGCAGGGCTGTTTCTACTTTCTGGATTGCTCATCCCAACAATAATCTGATTAATAATGCAGCTGCAGGCTCCCAGGTAAGTAGTATTAAAGTGTGTTTTGCATGGTCTTTCTGGCTTTTCACATTTTCCCAGTGTGACGCTGATCATTTTTGTTTCTGGTGCTGATGAACCAGGAAAGCCTCAGCTTTTGCTTATACAAGTGGATTGATCTGTAGAATGCTGTGATAGCCATCACTCTGGTCACTAAATGTAGGGGTTCTGTTTGGAAATTTCATCTTGATAAAGCAGCTAAAATCTCAGCTCTATGCCATCAGTGAACTACGTGCCTTGAGTTAAGACATGCGCGCACACGCACACACACCTAAGATTAATTTTTAAGAGGATTAATGGATTATTTTTAGGTGATAGATGTGTCCAATGGATAAATCTGGAGAAACTTACATTTACAATTGAGTATAATTCAGGGCTCCTAATTTAAGGCATAAGTGAACCCTTTTAAGACATTGTACTATTAAGATTGTACATGGGATGAAAAATCCTGTACAAAATTGCAAACATTGCTGTAATACTTAAATGTTCATGTCTGTACCTCGTGAGTATTTAAAATGTTTGAATGGAAGGAAGCGACTAGCATCATTTCTAAGCACTAAGTGAACGATTGGTTGAAGGAAGTGTTTGTGTCTTTGAGGTAGCGAGGGTACAGGTGTTGGTGGGTAATGGTTGAGCTCACATCTGTGACTTTTTTTTGGTCTTTTTCTTTTTTATCAGTACCAGGAATTGAACTCATGACCGCCTGCTTGCAAGGCAGGTGCTTAGGCCGCTGAGCTAAATCCCCAGCCCCTGTGACTTTTTGAAAGCATTAAATGTAGTCTGACATCCTTGCCATAAAAGAATTTTTTTTTTTTGTTTTAAAAAGGAAAAAGAAAGAAAAACCAAGAAGCAAACCAAAACAACAAAAGCAAAATGAAACAAAACAAAACAAAATGATATGTGAATTTAACAGTGAATTCACAGTGAACACTGTGAATTTAACAGTGGTTGTTATATTGCATATTGCTATCTTCAGAATAGTTGCTCAGGTTACCAGCTACAGAAATAAAACAAAACATTAAAATAGAACAAAACCTTGGATTTCAAAAACAATACAGAAGGAAATCTCCCATAGTTGCTGTAATGCATTGTTATTCTCCAAATAGATGCTCAGACCAACAGCTTTAGGCCTACAAAGTCAGTCAGATAATACAGACAATAAGTGTTTGTTTTTTGCTTCAGTTGCTGTCCTGTCAGCCTGAGTTCCTCCGAATCAGCCAGTTGCTTATGGGGTAGGGTGAGCGGTTGCTCTTCTTGTCTCCCAGCCTGTGCACTGGCTGGCTCACGGGCAAGCATGGTTTGGCTTCTTGATTCTTTTCCCATTCCATGTGGCAACCCTCGGCTCATGAGAAGGCCCATCTGAGGATTCTTACTTCATAGGCCAGAGATCTAGACATCACATCTTTTCCGGTTTTCAGCCATCATTTTCCTTCAAGTATCCATTGAGCTTGCGTGAGGTCTGCACTGGGAGTTTCTCACCAGGCAGCGATGAGTGAGAGATGGCTCTGTACTTTGCCCCTGCCAGCTTCTGACCTTGTCACACTGTGAATCTGAAGCCACAAGCCTTCTCTGAGCTCTTTTCTGTAGTCAGGATCTGAAGTATAAGGGACATTACAAATAGTCTATGAAAATGTAAGCCGTGGTTGCCAGGTGCCCCTCCTGGGGCTCAGGTGAGGAGCAGGAAAGCATCTCCTGTATGTTCTGCTTTTTTGTCCTGTGCATTCCTGCTCCTGTGAAGCAGCTGCTCCAGGGAAGCCAGTGGTTGGCAGGGCTTTCCTCCCAGCATCAATGGGATCTTTTCTTCATTGGCTCTGCCAGAGCTCCCTTACCTGTTTGGACATCACAGTGCTTCACAGGAAACAGCTGCTACCCACTCCCCATCCCAACTCCATGTCACCCAGGAGGATCCGTGCCACCCTCAGCTTGCAGGGCTGGGATGTGGAGCCTTTCAGCAGTTCTTTTAAGTCATCTTCTGTTGAATTGTTTTGTGCTCAAACTGCAGACATTTTTTAGATTAGTTTTTTTTTTTTTTTTTTAATTGGGACCCATTTGTAAACTTTTGTCGTAAAAAAATGTGAAATATTCCATTCTTTTTGGCATGGATGTGTGTGTGCTTCCATAGTGTATCCTTTTTCTCTGTCCTCCTAAAGACTAATGTGAAAGCTATCACATGCATTTGAATTATCGGTGTATTTGGCACAGGACCATACACTGTTTCACTGTACACCCAGCAGGTAGTAGGCACTAAATGAATGTTTGCTGAGTTTGAAATAAGAGTATCCTTTTACAGTGTGTGTTTAGGTTTTAACAACCTGTGTAACCAAACACCCAAAATCCTTTACATTGAAGTTATCCTTTACATTGGGTTGGCTTTTTAATTCACTTGAGAAGTAAATAGTCACAGAAATTAAGAACATTTATTTCTATTTTCATGTTTCTTTTAGAGTGTCAAAAAATTTTAAACTATTCTACTCCTGTTAGGAGCAGTAATACTGAAATTGAGCAGACAGGGTCCAGTTTGAGACAGCATACTAATTCATGTGTGTGGTAGGGGTTTTTTTTTCTCCCTCTTTGGCAAAAATTTGCCTTGGGACAGGAAGGCCATTGGAGTTGCTTGAAAGAAGGCAGTGAGTGCTGCATGTTGGTGGACAGCTGTTTAATAGGCATGACTCATCGATTGATCAGGTCTGGAGGAAAACCAGAGAACCATGCTGCTTACAGGCTGTGCTGTTCTGGTTGTTTTGGTTTGCATTCTGTATAACATTTTAAGGTAGATAGTGATGGGAAAGTTGTTTTGAAAGTAAATTTTGCTATCAGCCAATCACTTTTTTCCCCAGGCTTATGAGGAACATTAAATTTGCTTTTTAAAAATATGCATGATGTAATTGCTTTGAGGATGCTAGATGTGTGCAGCTTCTCATAGTTGATTCTGAACCTGAAACAATGAAATGTTTGTTTTAAGAAGATTAAACTTGCTTGCAAAGCAATTATTTTTGAGGGCATTTCACAGAGTGGCTTTATAAACTAAGGCTTTTATTAATCTGTGTTTTCATTATAGGATGCTGGAATATGGTATTTATTCCACAAAGAGGCTACGGGGGAGTCCAGTGGGTTACAGCTCTTAGCAAAACCAGAGCTCACTCCACTGGGAATATTTTATAACAACAGGGTCCATTCGAGTTTTAAGGTAGGTTTCTGAATTTTCACAATCAGCGCATACTACTTACAATATTTAAAGGAGGGATCATCTCTCATTCCCTCCTGTGCTGCTTAACAAAACATTGCAGACTGGGTAATTTATAGTGAAGACCAACAAGCATACTTGGCTTGTGATTCTGGGGCTGCGAAGCCCGATCGAGGGCCTAACGTCTGGTGCAGGCCTCCTTGCTGCATTGATCCACAGCTCAAGAACAAAGTGAGGGTGCGTGAGAGTGGAAGAGAGGAAGCCGGCAGCCTTCCCAGTCCTCTCTGTGGTCTGCGCTAGTCTGTCCTTGAGGATGGCGCCTCTCGGGACCCAAAGGTCTCCTGGGAGGGGCCATGCCCAGCTCCATGGCTCTGGGGATCGGGTTTCTAACACTTGTACTTGGTGAATATTTTCAGGCAATGCCAGGTTACAGCTTAGAAACAGCACTTCTGGTGGAACTTGTCACCAGAGAATAATGCGTCACCAGAGAATAATAATTGAAAAAGCAAAAGCAAAAAGGGCAGCGAGCCTTCTGTATTCAGGCTGTGCACACGGCATCTGCCAGGGCTCACCGAAGCGCAGCATGCATGTGCACATGTGTTTGATTAAGTCATGGATCTTGTCCTTGGGACCTCCTCTGCTCTCTTGCCCCTGCCTACTCCCACACTGTCTTTGTGATCTCTGGTGTCCTGTGGTTCTGGAGAGATACACGTTAGATCATGTAATCTGAGGGTTCAACGCCCATCTTTCTCTGTTCACAGTGCTGGTCAGGTGTCCTCCTGAGCATTTAATGCTGGTTACATAAATAGTGAAATATTGCTTAAGAATCTTTGGCCTAACTGAAGCAGATACAGATGGAATCATCTACACACCCAATCGGAAGCATCAGTTTTCCTGCTATTCAGCACTCACTGGTGCCCTTCTTGTGGATAAGCACTTGTGGCTTTTTTTGTGCTTAAAGGCACTTTCATATTTCCATCATATATGTGATGCCCAGGTCCTCGCGCTGGTGGCACTCCTACCAAAGTTTAGTTAATCCTCTCCATGTAATCCTCTCTAGTAAGAGAGTCTTTCAAAACATAAGTAGGTGATAGTTTAAAGAGCTTAGAATTGGTTGATGAAGACCGGAGAGAGGATAAACCCCTGCTGTGGTTTTTATGAGCTAAATAGTTGATTAAGACAAATAATTATTGAAAGTAGCATTTCAAGGTGAAAATCTTCAATTAAAAGATTATAAATGTCAGAAAAGCACATCTTCCTAATTTTTTAGTGTCAAACATAATAATGATGCGGTAGTCTCTTATTAATTGTGAGAATCCAAATAATATGACTGGTTGGTTAGGTTTTAATTTGTTAAGTTTGGGAATAACACTACAGGATAAAATAATGGTTAAAGGAAATTGAACCATTGGAGTCTTCAAAAAGAATTTGCCCCGGTGGGGTCACTCATAAACCAACACACACACACACACACACACACACACACACACACACGCACGCACGCGCACACGCACACGCACACCCTTCCTGAGGCTTCAGTTACTGATGGCTCCCGAGTCTGTGTTAGTCTAGTTGATTACATTTATTTGACTACCTACTGGGTTCCATTTCAGTGTCTCAGGGATGCATTTCATATATGTGTGTGTGTGTGTGTGTGTGTGTGTGTGTGTGTGTGTGTGTATTTAAATAGACATTCAGATATATATGTTCAAGTAGATATTATATCTATCTATAATATATAGATGTTGTATATCATATGTATATATCCAAAACTGAAATCCTTCCTTTTGGGCCTGGGTCATTCCTATATGTCAATTTCAGCAAATGAAGCCACTAGTTCTCTAGTTACCCAAATTAAAATAAAAAAATAAGAGCTTCTCTTACTCTTTCCCTCATCCCAGTCACAAACAGTGCTGCCTAATAAAACTTTCTCACTCTGTCTGATTTTTTCTGTTGTGACTGCCACAAATCTAGGTCATTTCATTTCTCTTTTGGGTCGCCAGAGTTATCTCCTATTTCATTTCTTACCTTTTTTGACTTCTTTCAATTAATTCTACATCTCTTAGCTATCGTTTTTTTCTCCTTAAAATGTAAGTGGTTGTGACATTTTTTATTCAATTCCTGTTCTTTTGACTCTGTCGGCCTTTTGCGATCTGATGTTTGCTTCCCCAGCCTCCTTCACTTTTCTCCCCTTTGTGGGTTTCCTTAGCGTACCCAGGTTGTTTTCTCATCTAGTCCATGCTATGTTTCATTGCTAGACTTTATCAGCATTTCGAATGCGTTCTCTTACATGCTGTATATGAGCCAAAATCAAGTGTCTCAGATGGAACCAAAATATCTAGAAAAGATGGCAACTAAAGTGATATTCAGTGGAACTTGGGTACATATTTTTCTTAAACTTCAGGGTGATGAGGCCTGTTTATGGATGGAACAGGCTACATATAATAGGCTCTGTTGAAAGTCGTTTAGGAGAATGCCAGGCCCACTTGTTATGAGGGGAACAAAGAAGGAACCACAGTGCAGGTTGAGTACTTTTCTCTTGAATCTTCAGCTGCTTCCGCTCGTTCAAACCCATTCTTTTGACTGGTTAATTCCTCCCCAGCCGTACCTAGGTGACTTCCTTTGGGAGACTCCCGTGAATCCCTTTCACCCCAGAAAGAGCCTCCTGTGGTGCCTCTCTTTCCTTATCATTTGTGCAGTCCTTATCATAGGACTGCAGTTGTTTAATCGATGCCTTCCTGATGGCGTTTGTTTTAGGAGGAGCACAAATGTATTCTACTTACTAACCAGTGTATACATCAAGCAGGCATTGTGTGATAGAATGAATACAAAACCATCCATGAAAGTAGCTGCTATGGTTTGCTGTTTAACATCTTTCCCCTACTTTTTTGAGTAGAAGCGATAATTTAAAATTTACTTTTTGCCTCATTTTTATGTTTTTCAGGCTGGTTTGTTTATTGACAAAGGTGTCAAAACCACCAACTCCAGTGGCACCGACCCGAGGGAGTACCTCTGCTTGGATAACAGTGCAAGGTATGGCTGGCTTTTCAGCACCACACTCAAATCTTTCCTTGCCACGGTGCAACGTCCCATCAAGCACGAGGTATTCTCTTCTTCAGTAGCATGTTTAGAGTGAAGTGATAAACATTCATAAAAGGGTTTTAGAAAAGCACCCTGCTGTCTCTGGTCCTGATCCTGGGTGTTTCTCTTAGTCACACACTGAGGAAGTTGGTACTTCTCTACCTTTTCCGAGTGAGCAATTGTTAGAGGGAGTCACAGAAAGAGAAAAAGAAGAGAGATGTTGGAAGACGATCTCAGATTTGGAGCGGAGTGATTCATTGGAAAAACATGTTAAGCTAAGTCGAGGTAGTCTAATCCTGAAAGCCAAAGCATATAGAATTTATACTTAGTGGTCAAAAGGGAACATTTTGTTGACTCTATTTCAAAGAAAAAAACCCTCAGTTTGATGATCAAGCTGGTTCTGGTTCGGTTATTTGTAGTCTCCAATTCAAGTCCTAGCCAGGCTCTTTAGAGGTTAGCCCTGCTGCATAATCACAGAGTACAGGGTGGGAAATGCATCAGCCCTACTTTAGCGTTCTCTTACATGCTGTATGTGAGCCAGAATAAATAAAATGGCTCAGATGGAAATCAGATTATCTGGAAAAGACGGCAAGTGATATTCAGTAGAAGCTGGGTATATATATCTTTTTTTATATTTCAGACTGTTGACTAGTTTATTGAGCTGAATGGGTGCTACACTGGAATAGGCTCTTTTGAAAGTCATTTAAGAAAAGAATGCCAGACCTGATTGTATTAAGGGAATGAAACAGAAACCATACTGTAGGCTGATGAATCTGATTTAAGTGTGAATCAGCATCTTTGCAATACATTACTGAAATGTGAAGTCAGGAGAAAACTGGGGAAAGGTTGAGAAATTACTCATTAGGATTTCTCAAAGGTCAAGTGAAATAAAATAGTTCATAGCAATGTCAGATATCATTTGAGAAGTCCAGAAACTGGGCATTATTTAAATAAAACTCAAGGTACTGGATACGTCATAGTCAACATATGGGTTAGAAAAATAGAAACGATAAATGTAAGACAAAGATGAAAATAGACAAGAACAAATAGTGAACCAAGAAGACAGTTATTAGTTGACAAAAGTTAAGGAATTTGTATTAGAAGGTTGCTCCTGTTCTTTTTAGTTTTATAGTCTGTAGAGTTAAGAGTATGTAGTTTGCAAAGTTAGCATTGCCAGGGGAATCCCAAGCAGAACAAATTTGGCTCTTTTTTTGCCTTAAATAATTACTTAAATAATTTGTATAAGGTGTGTTTGTGTATATTTTTATGAATAGATAAGTAAACATATTTTAAGAATCCCATAATATTTTAACCATATTTGACAATAAAACACTTTATTCATAATAGTATGAGATCTTTCTCCAATGTGTCCATGTGATGTTGTGATATGAAAGTGGTAATCTTTCCTCTGCACTCCATTATTTCTGTTATCGTTTTATAAATGCATACGTATTATTAAGGCATTGTACTCTATTTGGAATTTGTTCTTGAAAAGAATGGATTATAGAAAAAGAGCTACAAGACATTTGGCCGCTGTGCGTGCACTTAATCTTTCTATGAACTAATGTACAGAGTATACTCACATGTATCACGCAGTATAGACACGGACAAAAATCATACAGCACAGAGAAGTAGTGACCCAGCCTAGGAATTGAACTCCAGGCCACGGAATCCAGGAGATTCTCAGTCTGTTCAGCGGGAGCGGACTCACCAGTTATTCAGACCGAGTTTTCCTTCTGTTTTCAAGATGCGAAATTACAGGAATCCAAAGGATCTTAAGAGGGAAAACTTTACCCCGAGAAAGCGTTTTGTTTGAAATTGGTAAATTTCATCTAAAAAAATGAAGGAGCATTAGAACCAATTGGTTTTATTGAGAGCAAAGGGTCACTGAGGGAGGGCCAGGAAATGTGCTGAAATCACATAGATGACAACGAGAAATTGGAACAGTTAACTGCATTTTCTGTATACCGAGTGGGCAAGTAATTGAGAATAAAGGGTAGCAAAGCAAGTAGCTGGTGATTGAATTATATGGACAGGAAATTAAGAAAGGTGAGGCAGGTGTAACCCACAGATTGCTGCAGGGCTCCTTCCCTTCCCCCCTTACCTCCCCCCTTTCCTGTCCTGCCCGCCTTCCCCTCCCTTCCTGTTCCTCTTTCTCTTCTTCCTCTTCCTCTTTTCTTGGTCACCTTTTAGAATGTGTATACTGCCTTTGCAGAACTCTTCTATCTGCTTGGCATTGTAAGTATTGGCTTAGGTCAGAGCTACCTAGGGCCAGTGTCCTGGGCCACGTAATGTAAGGATCGACATACAGCTGCGTCCCCACTGCTGCCGCCCTGTTATACCTCTGGCCTAAAGAGTCTAGCCTGGGTGTACAGTCCATTCTCCAATAGCAGCCAGCAGTCTGCTGAAAGAACTGTAAGAAATAGGATCACATCACCTCCCTTAGCTTCCCATTGCATTCAGATGAAGAACCATATCCTTGCTGACACTTGCTGGCCTCTCTGCTCTCTCGCCGCTCACTCTGGCCAGTTTGCTTGGGGATGAGTGCCGAGTTCACTTCACAGGTCAGGCCACACTGCTTCCTGTGTTTTCTTCTGAGCTGCTTCTCCCATGTTGCGTTTAGTGAGTACCTACTGTGTGCCAGCAAGTGTGCTAGCAGCCTTGTGCAAAGGGTGACCCCGACTGCATGGTCAAAAGATCACAATGTGCTGAATTTAGTTTTGAAAAGTTCTGTCTAGCTTGTCAAGGTGGTGGTTTGATGGGATTATATGAGTTGTTACACTGGGCAATTTTTGGCTCCCAAGTTTTTGACTTTTACATTAAGCACCTTACAAAATGTTTTAGAGCAAGGAGAAAGATAAGGCAAAATTCAGTTGTTTTAACAAAGTCAAATATAACATTTAATTTTAAGCATTTTAAGCTATTAAGCTGAGTTCTGTCTCAGACATTTAAGTAGCACATAACTTGATATTACAGTTCACTTATATGTACATTGAAATACGTTATACAATAAGTTTATACTCGTAGCATGTAATTTAAGAATTTGTGCAGATATGTAGATTTCCTGGTGAGGATGCGTGTTTTAATGGAAGTGATTTTTGCGCTTATAATGTTTTATAGTGTTGCTTTATAAGTTGATTTTAAAAACTAAGAAGCTATGAAGTTACCTGGATAGTCATGTGTAAATAAGTGTAATTTTTTTCTTTGAAATATAATAATTAAGTGGTTCGTGTTAAGATCTTTTTCAATTAGTTTGTTTTGGCTAAATTTAAGTCTTACTTTTTGACCCTACTGTGTATCACTGTAGTTAGCTAATTTCCTTTGTTTTGTAAACCTTAGATTTCGGCCTCATCAGGATGCAGATCCTGAGAAACCTCGCGTTGCTGCTGTGATTGACAGGCTCATTGCTTTTAAAAACAACGACCACGGGGCGTGGATCAGAGGGGGAGACATCCTCGTTCAGAACTCAGCGTGGGTATTCTTTACGTGGCCCTGTCTGATAGCAGTGCTGTGTTTGTTAAGGATTTCTGTAATCCTGGTGGAATATGCTGAGAGTTCAGTGGCGTTCCCTGGGATAGGCACAGGCGGGATGAGCTCTGGAAAGTGTGATCGCGTTGGAGACTGCAAATGTTTGACATTGGCTCATCCTGGTGCTTTTATTGAAACTGACCTTGTCTAGTGACATGGGAGCTTTGGATGAGACTGAACAGAAACTCGGGATGAGCTTTTTATAGAATAAGCATGGTTTTTATGTCGAAGCACTAAATTATGGTTTTGAAACTACCTGGCCTTTTTTTCCCCCTCTTGGATATGCCTTAAAGCTTTTCTGATTTTCTTCCTTTACCATTCAAAACAAAAGCTGTCTAATTCCACATTAATAATCTGTTAACTTTTATGTCTTGCTGTGACTTGAGGCAGGAAGCCTCTCACTTCTTTTCCCATTTGTGTATTTTTAAGAGAGGCGTGAGGCATGTCACACTGAGACTGGTAATTAGCAGTCTAGAAAAAAAGTGTTCTGCTTTTTTCTGCCACTGAGCAGTAGTTTCTTGACATTGTACCGTCTTTTGACTTTTGTCATCCAGAAAATTGGCACTGTTTTGAATCTGTCGAAGTAACTTTGGTGTCCTCTAATTGTTTTCTAAAAAATAATTCTAAAAATTTTTAACTAATACTTACATACTACTTACTGTGTTCTGGTGTTGTTTTAAATACTTGAAATAATTTAATGTGTTTGATGTTCTCAAGAATTCTATAAAGAAGGTTATATTATAAATGAGAATATTAGCGGGGAGAGAGGTTGAGGCACTTCCCTGAGGTCACACAGCTAATAATTGGCAAGACACACATTCAGATCAGATACTCTGAATGCACAGCTTGTGCTTTGTGTATTAGTAATTGAGAAATTAAAGTTTTTTGTTTTTTTAGAGAGTAAACATCAGGACCTTCTAGATTTTCTAAGTAAATAATTGAATTACCTTTTATGTGATATGGTAAATTAAAATGTTCTTGTATTCTCTTTTCTCTTATAGATTTGCAGATAACGGAATAGGACTGACCTTTGCCAGGTTTGTAATGGCTTAAAGAATGCGTATTTCATTATTTTAAAGGTCTCAGGTAACATTTCTTTAAAGGGGAAATAACACAGGAATATTTCATAATTTATTAGCATTTTAAAAAATAGCACCCTCTTCTTGATACCACTAGAGGACTAGAAATACGTTTTTATTGATTAATCAGATTCATACTGAGGTGGTACTTGGAATTCCAGAAAAGAAAGGCAATTACAATTTTTGCTTAGAAAAAGGCACCTGAGATTTAGATTAAAAGTCTTTTAAAGTGGAAGAAAGAGAAGAAGCAGCACAAGGAGATTAAAAAACTAGTATTTTTCTTAGAATATACTTTAACTTAGCAGTAACCTTTGAAGAACTAAACTTTGGTTGTTGTGTATTTATCTGTGGGTGCTGGTTCTCCAGTGGCCATGTTAAACATGCTTATTTAATTGTTCTGGTCAGCTGCATTCTTATTTGCAGGATTCTTGGTCGAGAATGATGTTACTGCTGATTAGTTAAATTTCCTTTGTTCACATGTAATCTATAAGCCATACTTTACAAGAGATACTTTTACATTTTAAAAGAAATTTCCGAGTGCGTGGCTAACATGCACAAGGACTGTTTGACTGTTTGAGGTCTCGTGCCTGCACCCCAAAAGCAGTTTCTAAGCATTAATGAGTATTAGAAGCTCTTGGCTTTTTATTGTTTATTTTTGTATAAGAACAGACTCATGACCTCACATTTGCCAAGCTGGCACATTTACCACTGACCTAAATGCCTGGCTTTTTAGTTTTTACTATTTTGTGTTAGGTTATTTTATTTTTTGATACCAGGAATTGAGCTCAGGACTTTGTGCTGTCTCTGGGCTGTGCCATTTGTTTTTTAGAAGAGTTTTAGCTTTTTGAGTTACAAGGTGCCTTCACGTGGGGTGAGTGTAAGTTTCCTGTGGAAGAGGGGCTAACGATTGTCCTCATGTTGACAGTGATGGGAGCTTCCCCAGTGACGAAGGGTCTAGCCAGGAAGTGTCTGAGTCCCTCTTCGTTGGGGAGAGCAGGAATTACGGCTTCCACGGTGGTCAGAACAAGTACATGGGCGTCGGAGGAGTTGACCAGAAACCTCGCACATTACCTCGGAACAGGTGAGGATCACTACCGCGTGGACACCCACCCCCAGTCAAGTTTTAAGTAGTAACTTTAGATTCATTGGAATCTATTGTGATTCTTTTTCTTAACTCACTACTACTATTATCATGTGTATCCTCATCAAGTTTTGTGCAGTTATTAACCATTCCACAGATTCCATTATCAGTTTTTTAAAACAGAAAGGCCAATCTTGTTTCTTACATAAGGACTTATATAAGCTGGCGATCTTTTTTTTTTTTTGGTCTTTTTTTGAGGCAGGGTCTCACCATATATTCAGGCTGGCCTTGAGCTCACTTTGTAGCCCAGGCTGGTCTCGAAATTGCAACGATCCTCCTGCCTCAGCCTCCCGAGTGCTGGGATTACAGGCATGAGCCACCATGCCCGGCCTCTCTCTCTCTCTTTTTTTTTTTTCTGTTTGTTTTCCTTTCCTGAGACATAGAAGAGGTGCCAAGCCATAAACTATGATGTTAGGTCAGTTTTCCCTCAACTTGCGATGTTGGTTTTTAGAAATCGGCACTGGAAAAGGAAATTACCTACTGAAAAGTACTAGAAAATGAGTACTGACTGATGCCAGAGTGGACCCGAAGCCTCACCGCAGCTATGTAATTCACAGTGTTTGAGATGTTGGAGGAGGTGAGGGTGGGCTCGGCATGTTTTCTGTTGTCCTGATCACAGTCATTAAAAGATTCTTCAGGGCTTTTAAGGGCTATTGACTGATTCATCTGTACCTCAGTTCTGGCACTCAGCTGGAGTTGTCCTCATTTTACTTAGGGGAAAACTTAATCTTGTTATAAAGGCCTCACATCTGAGCCAGTGCTCTCGTTTGCCACTGTGATCCTGACCTGGGAGGCTGAGGCAGGAGGATCCAGGGCAACTTAGCAATTCAATGAAACGCTGTCATAAAATATAAAAAGGGCTGGCTGGGAATGCAGCTCATTGTGAAGGTCCTGGGTTCAGTGTCTTGTACTGCAAAAAGCAAAAGTCATGTTCTTAATGTCATCTCTGGACACTGAGCTGAGACATGACACAGCAGCCGGACAAACAGACTGTCAGCTGTGCTTATTACCGTGATGCTGTGGTTTTTCCTGCTGTGGTGCTGGGTGTGGAACCCACCGGGCTTGCCCATGGGAGGCAGCCAGTGTACCACTGAGTCTCGTCCCCAGCAAAGGAGCCTAACTGGGATAGCATTTTCCTGGTGACACTGGGCTCCGAGTAAGTACAAGGAAGCCAGAGTTGCCACTTCGGAGAGGCCCCCATCTACCCTAGGTGGGGCCTTCTTCTCAGCCAGTGTATCATATAGCTGTGTCCTGGTGCCTCCGTAACACTGATCATCTGAAATTATCCTTCCGTTTTGCGTGCGTGCGTGCGTCTGTCTGTCTGTCTTTCCCACTATAGCACCTATTTCATTTCACCGGGATCTTGTCTTGGTTACCACAGTACCCTGGAATTTTGCTGAGTGCTTGCAGGACATGAAGCAATATTTATAAAGCAAGTAAGTGCTGTTCAAGAGCTCGGCCCACATGCACTGAACAGAACCTTGTGTCTTTAACAGGACTTTCCCAATAAGAGGCTTTCAGATTTACGATGGACCCATTCATCTCACCAGAAGCACTTTCAAAAAATACGTGCCGACTCCCGATAGATACAGTAGTGCAATTGGCTTCCTTATGAAGAATACCTGGCAGATAACCCCCAGGAATAACATTTCCCTGGTGAAGTTCGGGCCACACGTAAGTACGCTCTTAAGTTTTCTGTCGGTGACTGAGGGAGGGACAGCTTAGTGGATCGGTACTGAGTCTTGATGACAGGGCAGAAAAGGCATAAAACAGCAAATTGTAGTCCCTCTACTCTGTCTTGTTGAGTTCAAGGTGTGACCAGTGATCGCATGTATTTTTGAATTCAGATGTCCCTTGAGCAGGACAAGGACTTGAAGCTATGACTGGGGGCTTGTAAAGTTTTCCAGGAACAAAGGACAGGATTCTTGGGGAACGCAGTGGACTAAGCTGTAGAGTGGTCCCAGCTCCACTGAGAGACTGGGTCCTGCCTGGTATTATTTTTGTCCAAGGCTATGCTAGGGAATAAGAGCATAGAAGTTGGAGCTGAGGAAGAATCCGAGGGCAGTGTGGTAAGAACTGGTCCTGATAGAAGGCCCTGTTGGGTGGCTTTATAGAGGTTGCAGAGAAGATACGGAAATCACTGCTTCTGGGCAGCGGTGCCCGCCAAGCTCGGTCTAGCTTAGTCTGGGCCTGTGCTCTCTGCCTTTGTGGGTTCATTCACTCACCTGCAACCAAGAACATAAGAAAATAAGAAAAACACACAACAATGGAAAAACAGCATATTTACAATTTAGCTAAATCGAGAGGGCAGGTATTGTGTGCCCATCCCGCACACCAAGCACAGAAGCATTCTGGCTTTAAGGGGCGTAGAACAAAAGCCAGGAGATACCTGTATGGAGATTTAGTGGGCTCTGGCCCAGTGGGCTGGAAGTGTGGACCACCCTGTGCTATCATGGATGGGGGAGGTGTGATGGTGACATCTGTGATAGCCTGAGGGAACTTGGTTTATCTTTAATAAAAACTCCAAAGTTTTACAGATCTGAGTCACAGCTGCCAACGGAAGTAGCTTTCTGAGCAGTCACACCGTCTGCCTGTCCTCCCACGAGGCATGGAACAGTCTGATTGTGTCCCAGTAGGCTTTAACCAGTTTGCTACCTCCACACCAGCAGTGGCGTGAGAGAGCTGGTGTCATGGATTCCGTGACTGTGCTCCCCCAGAAAGCCACAGCGGGACCATAGCTCACAGTTCTTTCATTCACATTTCAATATAAACGCTGGTGTGGTCCAGTTGAAAGCAGAGCTTGAGAAAGGTTGAAGTCTGGCTTGCTAGAAGAGCTGAGGCACGGGTATAGATGGGTGTGCCCACGTCACTTGGTTGGTTCTCTTTTGGGCCATATAGGTTAGAAATAGACAGTAGATGGCTTCCCACATCAGTAAATAGGGCAGGTTGTCCCCCCTCCCCCAGGCTTTGCACAAGGGCTTTATCATTGTACCACTAAATTATATCCCCAGCCATTTAGGAAAGGTCACCTTTCCAGTGTGGAGGCTGGCCGTGCACATGGACCTCCATGCATAGAGTTTAGTGACCAGCGACTTGGTCACACTGAAAAGCAGTTTATTTAATGCTGTAAAAGTCCTACCATTGTAACACTGTAAGAGAATTCTTATGGTTTATGTCCAGTGCTTTAGCCTGAAGCTTTTTAAAGTGCTAATGGACTTCTAATAGTTTTTTTTTTTTTTTTTTTTTTTTTGTCTTTTTCATTTTTATCGGTACCAAGGATCGAACTCACGACCGCCTGCTTACAAGGCAGGTGCTTATGCCACTGAGCTAAATCCCCAGCCCCACTTCTAATAGTTTTTAAGTGGGAAAAAGATTGAGGTTTTTTTTGGCAGCAGGGTGGGGGGGTCTTTTTGAGACAGGGTTCTCACCATGGAGTTCAAGCTGGCCTTGGACTCACTTTGTGACTCAGGCTTGCATCGATCCTGATCCTCCTGCTTCAGCCTCCCAAATGCTGGGATTACAGGTGTGAACAACCATCAAGCCCCACCAGAGCTCCTGGAGGTTTTGGTATTTGTTTTTCCCCTCAAGCATTCCCTTGATTGAGTAGAAAACCTAGGTAGGTCTCACTGTTGGCAGCAATGTGCAGTCAGCATAGCAGGTTGGCAGTGGTCCTCACTTTGTGCTGTCCGTGGTTTTCACTGCTCAGGTCTCTCTGAACGTCTTTTTTGGAAAGCCCGGTCCCTGGTTTGAAGATTGTGAGCTGGATGGTGATAAGAATTCCATCTTCCATGATGTTGACGGCTCGGTGACGGGCTACCGAGATGCTTACGTGGGCAGAATGGACAACTACCTAATCCGCCACCCGAGCTGCATCAACGTCACCAAGTGGAACGCAGTGGTCTGCAGCGGCACCTATGCCCAGGTAGGTGCAGGGAGCAGCTGAGGCCCGAGCTCTGCAGCTGCTGCCAGAACTACTTGTGGGAAGGGGATACTTTTACTTCTTTTGCTCTTTGGTGCTTTCTCAAGTATGAGTTTCTTTAAAATAAAATTAAGAAAAAAAAAAAAGAATTGCTCCGAAAGGACCCCTTCACCTCAAGAGAGTAAGTCAGCAGGGAGAAGTGATTTGCTGCGGGTTACGCACAGTTGGGAGGTCACTGATGTCAGAACCGTGTTTCTTGGCTCAGGTTTTAGTGCGGCATGGAAGCTGTGTCCCCTTAGAGGGGACTTTTATCCTTTTCATTTCAGGGTCATTATATCTACTTTGTTAGGGAGTCTGATTTTTGAGGCAGAAAATTGGTGAGTCACATGGAAAAGTGAGATGTAGACGGAGCTGGAAATTGAAAACGAGTGGACAAGGAAGGAATCAAAGGAAATAACTGTAATAATCAACAGAGTATCTGTGATTATGGGAAGGAGATGACACAGGCTGGGAAACGTCTCTGAGGTTAGGTGGTGGGTGTTTACTGATGGGTACTCTGTAGGAGGCTGGCAAAGTAGTGAGTGGAGTTAAGCGCACAGACTTCAGAGCCAGTTCCCGGCATGTGTACCGTAGCTTTATTATTTCCCGAGTGTGAGCTGGGCCAGGGGAGAGGACTCTGTGAGGGTGCGGAAGGAGGGCAGCAGCTCCTCCGCTGTGAGGCTGTCTGATGACCGCGAGCATCAATACTTGGAGGGCGTGTAGCATGTGGTCCGCAGGCTGCGTGGCACGGTGCTGCTGCTGCTGGTGCGGTGGGGCCGTGGTCACAGGGGTTTTGTAAGAGAGGTTTGCAGGATGGGATTGGCCACATAGCAGTGCTCCCATTGCCCAAAATTTCAATTCTGGGCCGATTTTAGACAGTTGGGGAGGTTTTTGCAGTGGGCTGCCGGGGGAGAATGATGGAAGGGTGCATGGAGAAGAGCGTTGGAGGCTGAGTGGTGGATGGAGGCGGGGATGGAGCTCAGATGCACTCCTGTAGCGTGGGCTTCTCCTGGGGGAGGACCGTGCTGTGGGCCTGCCCCTCCACTGACCACCTTTACTTTCCTACCTAGCGGGTGTTCTGGGATGCTGCTTGTGACTTCTGAGCCCCCAATCTGACATAGTTTTTATGAGCTTAGCTTTTTATTTTTTGGTAGTACTAGAGATTGAACCCAGGACCTTCACCCTGAGCCCTTTTTATTTTATTTTATTTTTTATTTTGAAATAGGGTCTCACTGAATTTCCCAGGCTGGGCCCAGAGTTGCAGTCCTCCTGCCTCAGCCTGCCTAAGTGCTGGGATTACAGGCATGTGCCACCATGCCCAGCCCCACTGTATCTTCCTATCGCTGGAACTCTGTAGCGCAGATTTTGTGACTGTTGTGATTTTGAATCACCACTGCTACACAGTGTTATTCTTACCTTTAAAACCATTAAAAATAAGTTCAGATTCTTACCTATAAACAAGACAAAGAGCTTAAAAGGGATAGAGACTAGATAGTGTTTCTTGGTTATTTTAATGAGGATAATGGTTTCTTTGTTCCCAGGAGAGGAGAAAAAAATATGACTAAGACCTGGAGCAACAAGGACGGAGAATTAGCTACAGTCTAAAAAGTAGTTTAAAATGAGATTTCATTTTTCTATTTATTTGATTGTTAATCAGAATTGGCTTTGCTTCATACTATATTTTCCCACCTATGCGAAATAATCTTCGGACACTCTGGAATTAAAAACTAAAGCAAAAACAAAAATAAAAGGCCTTTTGTGTTTCTGTAGCTGCTGAACTTCTAGCCAAGCGTGTGTACTCCTGGGTGTGCATGTATCTGCCTGCTGTCTCTCTGAAAGTGGGACATGCTCACTAGTGAAAGTTTGTATCTTCTAAATTATTAGTTATAAATGTGTCTATAAAATGCCTCGTGCAGTAGCTCATAATTTTTATAAATTATCATTAACTATCAATGTACTTTTTCACTTATTCACCAGTCAATATATTCTTCAGTCCTTTGCATTTTTGGTTACTTGAAATATGAACTTACTCCTCCCATACAAAGCAGCAATAACTCTATTTTGATTTGTAGCTGGAGAAAGAAGCAAGTTATCTAATACCTCTAGGAGACCATGAATAGTAGAACGAGGGGTCAGACACCCTCTCCTGAGAATTTGTAACGTGGGTGGGAAGCCCAAACCTACAGCCATTTGCTATTTCTTAGAAATAGTGTAGGCAAAAGATCTCAAGATAGAGCAGCCGTTATTCAGCTCTTTGTAAATATTTTTAAAGGGAGTATTTGCTCTTTGCTGATATAAGGGATAAAGGTGCCCAGGAAGGAGGAGGGCAGCAGGGAGTTAAGGTTGTGTCACCACGGCCCACAGATCATCCCCAGGCTGGAAGAGCAAGCAGGTACCTCTGTCTGTCTGCCTGCCTCCTTCTTGCATATGAATATATGTTAAATAGGACTATATTTAAGAAAATTATGCATTAAAATGCATACCAAATATGTATCTATGTGGAGACAGTCAGTATTAAAAGTATGTTTCCCATATGTGTTTTCAACGTGAAATGGTATCAGTCGAGAGTATTAATCACATGCCAAGGAGAGGAAAGAAGCTTTCCTGGCTCAAAGGACGTGTTGAGGACAAAATTATAGAAATGCCAGAAAATACAGAATGTAGATAAACTGAAAATATTCTGCAAACATCTAGATGCATCTGGAGAATTTAGTTACTAGATGCTGATCTGTTTGAGGAGATTGTTCTGAAGCTCGTCTTTCAGGGGATGAATTTGTGGGAGGTTTTATTTTGGCATAGAAAGTGGCTCAAATGCCACTGGAATAAATTCAGGATTTCCAAATTTGTCTTGGCTTATTATGTTTTTCCAGTTGCTGCAGAACATTTTATAGGTTTTTTTTTTCTTTCCCCCGAAGGGGTGAAAGTTGACTTTTCAGACTAACGTAGATCATGGAAAATTGAAAGCCAGAGTACTAAGATACATAGATTTTCCATCTCATGGAAAGTCTTAGATTTGACGAGCGGGTGGTATCAGTTTTCCCATTAATTTAGTACATTTTGTATGTGCATTCCTCAGATAGAGGTCGTGCATTGACCGCATGCGTTTTATGTTTTGGTGAGCAAGCTGGCCTGTGGTGATAGAGCTGATGGCAAGGAGCCTGGTGGGCCGAATGCAGTCTGTGTTCACCACGTCTGGTTTGAGCAGGCTGCTGTAAGCAAGGCGCAGGTAGCTGCTGTCCGCTGACTCTAGCCCACAGGTCACAGAACATCTCTTTTCAAAGACAGATCCTTGACTGTGTGCTGGAAAGTTCGTTTAGCCATGGAAACTCCCATTATCTTCCCTTTCTTAATTTTTTTATTTTTGATTTTTTAAGGTATATGTGCAGACGTGGAGCACTCAGAATCTTATGATGACCATCGTGCGAGATGAGTACCCGTCCCACCCGATGGTGCTCCGGGGCATTAACCAGAGGGCTGCCTTCCCGCAGTACCAGCCTGTGATCATGCTGGAGAAGGGCTACACTGTGCACTGGAATGGGCCTGCGCCTCGGATCATGTTCCTGTACCTGGTGAACTTCAACAAGTAGGCTTCTGTTACTGTTGTTTCCAGTGTGTGAGCAAACAGTGATTTAGCAGGTAGAAAGAGTAACATTTTAAGTATGTCTTGATGAAACCCTTTATTTTGTGCAGTTAATATTTGCTAATCATCACAATTTTAAAAAGGAGAAAATACTTCCTATGAAGAATGCCACTTTCACGTGTTTTTCTCCTTTCATGGAGAGGTGGAGAGGCTCTGTGTTGTGTGTTGATGAATTAAGAGGCGCACAGATTGAGTCCTCTCGTGTTAAGAAAACCGCTGAGAAATAGTTCAGTGTCTGATGAATGCTTTAGTCCTGTTCAGGTAGGACAGGAAGATGTTTCATATGGTTTATTAGATGATCTCCTATAAAATGAAAGATTTTTGAGGCCAAATTTAGATTTAACAGAAGAAAGTAGATTTGATCCATAGCATCTGCTATGGGTAAGAGGTGAAAGTTGGGGCACCAATCCCAGGTATTTGACACTTGTGCCGTGACACAAAAGGATGCCTTTGTCCTTTTTATAGGTGTATGCCACCATGCCTGGCCATTTACTGTTTTTTTGTTTTTTGGTACTGGGGATCAAACTCATGACCTCGCAATTACCAGGCAAGCACTTGAGCCGCTGAGCTAAATCCCCATCCCCATTTATTGTTTTTTATGGTAAAAACATTCAAATTTATTATTTCTTAAAGCCTAATCTGGATAGAGGTGCACAGAAGTCAAGAAAAGAAGTCAATGATAGGAGGATGGAGGAGAAATGTCAAAGAGGGATCAGTTTTCCAAAAAGTTGCATTCATGCCAGGGCATTGATGCAAGTCTGTAACCCCGGCTACTCAGGTGACTGAGGCAGGAGGGTTGCGAGTTGGTGAGACCTTGTCTAGGACAGATAGACAGACGGATAGGGCTAAGATGTAGCTCACTGGTGTAGAGCACTTGGCTAGCAATTGTGAGGCTCTGAATTCAATCCTCCAAAATAATAATTTTTTTTTTTTAGAAGGATTTTGAGGTGGAGGTGAGAGGTTACAATAAAATCAGGTGCAGGTTCTGCAGAGTGCCACCACACATTTTTGTCAACCAGTAAGGAAGTGAAAACATTCTACAGTGAAAAAAGACTGAGCCTAGAAGTTTCGGACATCCACGTGGCTGGGAATTTAATCATCCTTTCCTTTTGTTTTTTGTTTTCTTTTTTGAGACAGGTGTCACTATGTAGTTCCGGCTAACCTGGACTCACTGTGTACCCCAGGCTAGCCTCAAATTCAAGGTGATCCTCCTGCCTCAGCCTCCTAGTGCTGGGATTATGAATGGGTGCTATCACACCTGCCTCAGTCATCCTTTTCCTTTTTTAATAAGTAAAAGTATAAAAATTACATGTTGGGCAGATGCAAAGGGAAGAAGTGATGGATCATTTTTTTCCTCAGAACTTAATGGTAGTTATAGGAGAGGCATAGAGTTTTCATAATTGTACTTCCAGAAATAATACTTAAGTTACAAAAGCTAGATTTAAGGATGGTAAGGAAAATAAACCGTGGAAATAATCTGTAGTCTTTCCAATCAGAAGAAGGCATGTAAACACTGAAAGTCCACGGTGCTTTTCTTTGTCTACCCTCAGGATTTTCTGAGCATACGGGTATAGTGTACCATAATTGTCTTTCACCAGGGTACATTTAATGCCCCTTCGTCTTTTTGTTAGTATAAGCGTTACCTCATAGAATACCTTCTTTTGTCCACATTTCTAATTATTTCCTAGAATAATTAAACCTGTGTGGGGAGGACTTGTGTGAGCAGTTTTACCGTCCTGTCACGTACTGTTTGGAGCCTATACAGAGTGATGGGGAGGTTCTGAAAATGGACAGTGGTCACGTGTGCACAACCTTGGGAACATGCTCAATGTCGTTGAACAGTTCAGGAAAAATGATTCAGTTGCTAAATTTTATGATGTGTGTGTGTCTTAGTACGATAAAAATAATCAAAAAAGAAAATAAGATACTTTTAATAGTTTCAAAGAATTAGCTCTATGCCAAAGAACTTTTAAGAAAAATGCTGTGGTAAATTAGTACTGTACATCAGAAGCTTCAAAAAGGTGTGTACTTTTATATTCAGTAATTTTGCCACTAAAAATTCATCTTAATAATATTTAAAAAGGTAGTGATATATTTATAAACAAAAACGTTCCTCAGAATGAAGAATTGAGTGGTGCTTATTTCCGTTGTCAAGCTGTGTTTTCATCTTAGACGTAGCCAACCACCTCACTTTCCTTTGTTAACCATTCGGAGTATTCCAGCACACTCGATCCAGCTTCCATTCATATTCCTCTCAATCCTGTGGAAGCTAATTTTTCTATAGGTCCTATTATTGTGTGACATTTAATGATAAGAGAAATCAGGATAACAGAGATGGCTGATGGCTAGTGTGGCAAGGTTTCAGTATTTCCATTGCTCAACGTTTCTGGGTAAAATTTATGTATGTGTAATGCTCAGAATCCCGGCTCAAGAGAATTAATTTTTTGATGCTCTCCCCTTTGAAGGAATGACTGGATTCGGGTTGGCCTCTGCTACCCAGCAAACACGACTTTCCAGGTGACCTTCGGCTTCCTGCAGCGGCAGAATGGGTCCTTATCCAGGAGCGAGGACTACCAGCCTGTGCATTCCCTGGAGGAGCTGCAGAGGAAGCAGGATGAGAGGAAATTCTACTTCGACTCCAGCACCGGGTAATTCGGTGGAGCCAGGGAATAAGAATCAATGCTATTTTCTTCAGTGGTGAAATTACTAGTTCTTCAGAGTAGCTAAGAATAGGTGGTGGTATGACGGCTGTTAGAAAAGCAGCTGATGTAGGGACTTCTCTGCACATCGTTATTAGGGGTTTCAGGGAGAGCTAGAATGATGTGTAATTATAGCTGGCAGACAGAATTGAATGGAGATGTTTGCTGCTTACCTATTAAGGCAATTTAGAAGGAGAGATTATCCTTGTGAGTGAACCAGTAGGCTCAGTTGAAAATGAAAATAATTTTTCTTGTAACGACTCTGAAGACAGTGACATACTACACAGGAGGGATAGAGTTCATGTTTTAATGAAAACTCAGTTTTCTCTTCCTGCTTGCTGACTTAAGGTTGACCTTGAACTTGTAAAAATCACTGGATAACCATGGCATATTTGCTTTCAACTTTCTCTAGGCTGCATCTTTGCACTTTGTAATTTTAATCCTGTTTTCCTGGGGTCCTGCTGGCCTTGTCACTTTAGTCCAGTGACAGTCTCTCAGCCTGGGGGCTCTGGTGGGCTCGATCTCCTGTCCTATTGCAGCAAGCAGCCCACTCTTCAACTGTCCTTCCTTAGACAGACATTCCTCCTACATGCTTCGGTCTAGGTACTTTCAGGGTATTAATGTAAATAAGAGGCATTTCTTCTGCAAATTAATCCAGGGAAGGGCGTGCAAATCCAGTCACTGGAAAGGGAAAGGTTTCAATGCTGTAAGTGCTATAGCGTGAGATAACTGTGCCTTTGTGGGGAACTCCCCCCCCCCCCATCCCCCTATGGGGAACTCTTTTAAATTCACCCTACGTAAACCAGTGACATCTTGAGAGGGCGATACTGAGCTGAGTCTTGGGGCGGTTAGGTTGAAAAAGGGGGTGAGGTAATCAGGCAGAATGAGCAGTGTGCACAGATGCATGGAGGCATGGAAGAACTGCGTGGCACGTGTGGGGAGATGAGTGGGGAGACCAATTGGGGAGGGAAGTTGGGGTGCAGTCTCTGAGTGCTGGTGAGCTTTGTCTCAGCGTATCTGCTGGTCAGTGTCAGTGTCAATGTTTTCTTGTACTCATCACTGATTTTCAGTTTCTAGTAGATGCAAACAACCTACCTGCCCTTCTGTTTTGTGGATGGAGAGAATACATTCCCTGTTGCTTTTCCCCAGAAATAAATGGAGTACCTCAATTTGTTGACATTCTTGGAACCACAAATTAATGGTTACCTGTATAAAGAGGCAGGAAGTATTTTCTGGTTTGGGCATTTCAAGAATCCTCAATGCTCTGAAGATCTGTTTTTATTTCTATTTGTTCTGACTATTTTAACTATATATTGAAAAGGTCATGTCCAGTTAGATCTGTATCTTTCCTTAGCATGTGTCTAATAAAGTCACTGGATGTTGAAACAGTTGCTGATTTTTTATCTCGTAATTGCAGCTGCACATTGCTCGTTGACCTCATTAATTAAAACATAAATTCTTGATTTCTGTTAATCATATTTTGTCAAGTCCTTTAGGATCTTGAGTTCCTTTGGTTTAGAAAGACTGTGTTTGCAGATAGACTTTGGACTGCTGCCTGGAAGTTAGATTTTTTTGTTCATCTTGGCAGGAAGAAGATAATTCAGAACGGATGGGGTTGTTCTTTTAGCTTGATTAGGACCAAGTTACAGACCGAAGAAGGACCCTGGGTCCATGTGCTCTTGGAAAACACAAGAATTGATTTGAGATAGTCCTTGGCTTTAGCCAAAAAAAGCACAGTTGCAATTCTAAGTTTTGTGCCTTAAACCAAAATGATTTATGGACAATAACAACAAAAGAATAAACCACATTAAGTTACTGAGTCCTAAACTCAACATACTTATATAGTTTTCCAAGGACTTTTGAGCCATGGCCAAATTCCATACTCTCAAATTACGTAGTGAACTAAGTTAAACCAGAAATTAACTTTGATATCTTCCAGAGTGACTAAATCCAGGTATCAAAATATTTTCCATAGCAGTACTGCATTCGACTGAAGACCCTTGGAGGATAGGAAGAAAAGCAACCCTTTTATTAAATTTATAATTTACTTCTCTTTTAAGGAAAAGTTATTTGTTGGAGGAATCTCCTTCTTGCCATGAGTCACTCCGAGGGGTTTTATTAGTTTCTGAGAGGAGTCCAACACCACGTGGCTTGGTTTCTGTTTCGTGCAGGTTACTGTTTCTGTATCTCAAAGCCAAAAGCCACAGGGATGGCCACAGTTACTGCTCATCTCAGGGATGTGAAAGAGTCAAGATCCAGGCGACAACGGACTCAAAAGACGTCAGTAACTGCATGGCCAAGGCGTATCCACAGTATTACCGGAAGCCGTCTGCGGTCAGGCGCATGCCGTCCATGCTCACAGGACTCTGCCAGGACTGTGGCACCCACCAGGTAGAGGGGCGAGGTGTGGTCTGGCAGGAGGAATAAGAGGGTTTCCTTGAGATCACGCTATGCTACTCTAAAGCATCCGCATTTCCAGTTTATAATACTTCAGCCTCATCACCTGAGTTCCACCCAGAGTGGAATGGGGGGCTCAGAAACAGAGTAGTCCAAATTTGTGTTAAAGTACTTTTCCCTTGTGATACATCGATTGACTGACTGGCTGTATGTTTTATACACTTGGAAATTAGAGGTGGCGATGTTGGTTATCATCTCTTAGTTCCCAGACTTGTGACTATTAAAATATTATCATTAGGGTTGCATCTCAAAGAGTGATACAAGAATGACTTGTTTTATTGGTGCTTCTCAAAAAAAAAAAAAATGCAACGCATATGAAAGTTGTTTACTTTTTTTACTTCTTTTTTTTTTTTTTTAAATGGTCTGAAGATTGACCCCAGATCCTTAAGCACTAGAGGCAGGTGTTCTGCCATTGCACTGCCTCCTCAGCCTTGTATTCTTTCTTTTTGTTTTTAAAATTTTCTTGGGAGAGGGGCTGGGGATTTAGCTCAGCGGCATAAGTACCTGCCTTGCAAGCAGGTGGTCGTGAGTTCGATCCCCGGTACTGATAAAAATGAAAAAAAAGACCAAAAAAAAAAATTTTCTTGGGAGAATAAAACCAAAATAAAATAGGTCAATCAAAACAAAACAGTGAAAACGATACAGGGTTTCAAAACAGGATAATAGGAAACCAACCATGACTATCATCATGCCTCTTGTTATCTTCAAAATTGCTGCCCATACCATCAGACATAATGAAGTCAAACAGGACAGAATAAAACTGATCAAAACAGAACAATGAATAAAATGAAACAAAACAAAACAGTGAGAATAATACTGGATTTCAAAAACAAGACAGAAGCAATCCACCATAGTTGCATATTGCATATTGTTATCCTTTCAATAGATGCTTAGGCTGCTGCTGGCTCTAGGCCTGCAAAGTTAATCACACAATATCAGCATTAAATTATTTTTGTATCCTAGTTGCTCACAGGTCAGCCTGCATTCCTCCGAATCAGCTGGTTGCTTACTGGGAGTTGGAGGTGGGGTGGGGGAAGGAGGCGTTCTGGCCTCCCAGCATGCATGCCAGTTGGCTCACAGGAAGGGTGAAATGGCTTCTTGTTTCTCCTCCTGGGACCTATGTGGCTCCTGCTGGCTCATAGAAAGGGCGAATTCTTGAATTATTTCTTTAAAGCAAAAGTTTTTAAGGTGGAAAGCCACTTTGTTTTTTCATTTTTTACTTTTATTTTAAAGAGAATATAACCAAGCAAAATAAAATAGAATAAAGCCAATCAAAACAAAAACAGTGTGATAGAGAATTTCAAAACAAGACAATAGGAAACAGCAATGGCCACTGTAATGTCCCTTGTCTTCAAAGTAGCTGCCCACACCGTCAGACAGTAAAATCAAACAAAATAGAACAGAATAACAGAATAAACCAATAAAAACAAAACAGTACAGGACTTCAAAACAAGACAATAGTAAATCAGTCCAAAGTGGCTACCTTAATAGATCTTGTTACCTTTGAACTAGCTGCCAAAAGCCACTTTGTATTAAAGTATGTGCTATTAATATTTACTGTAGGTAGCAATACAAACTGACTTTGGTTAGAAGTGGTTAGAAGTAGAGCAGTTGCCTTGCATGTGTGAGGCCCTACGTTTCATTCTTAACACCATAAATAAAATTCCCTCTCACCCCCAAAGTGAAAATAAACCCAAAGTAGGAGTCAAAATTGCATATTCTTATGGGGTTCCAGAGGACATCAGACCAGCTGCATGTGAAAAAGAAATGCTATGCTAGTACAGCACTGATTCATGTTCAGTCATTACAGAAAACACATACGGATTTAGAGAAATGGTTCTCGAGGTTGGTTCCCCCATCAGCAGCAGCACCAGTGTCCTCTGGGAACCTGCGAGAAATGGGAATTCTTGGGCCCCACCTACTCGTACTGAGTCAGCAGGTGGAGGGTGGAGGGTAGGGCGCAGTCTGTGCTTCAGTAGCCCTGAGGTGACTGGTAGGTGGTCACATTGGAGTTCCACTAGGGATTTTTTAAAAGCAAGAATTACGCAAAAATACATAGTACCTGTTAATAAGGAAAAAATCTACATCCTTTCATTTCTGATCATTCTTAATGATTAAAGAAAAAAACATTTCATCTTCCACTATTTTAAGTTCTCATTTTTTCTACCTTTTTCTCATTTGTTTTTGTCATGTGGTGGCATTAAACAGTAGGAAGAGAAAGATGGACTTAGGCTTTTCATTTGCATTAGAAAGGATTTTTTGCTTGTTTTTCTGTTTTGCAGCACTAGGGCTCAAACTCAGGACCTGGCATAGCCAGGCAAACGCTCTGCCACTGAGCTGCGTCCCAGCCCCTGTGTCCAGTCAGTTTTATCAGCATTGATGTAATGCGTGCACTTCGCAGACTCCTTGGGAGCAGGTGCAGTTACGTTAACATGAACCCTACTCCTGTCCAGGTGGTGTTCACCAGCGACCCTCACAAGAGCTACCTCCCCGTGCAGTTCCGGTCACCCAGTAAAGCAGAAGCCCACCGCGGAGAGCTGTCTGTTGTTTCTGTAAGTACTGTGTGCTGTTGCCATAGTCCCTTTGTGATGTGTGACCAAATGCCATAGCCTGGGTGGCTTACAAGCAGCAGCTCCAAAGGCTGGGGAGTCCCAGATGGAGGCACGGCAGGTGTGTTTGGTGAGGGCTTATTTTCTGTTCACTGATGCGCTTCCTTGCTTTGTGCTCACATGATGGAAGTGGCCTTCTTTTGTCCAATCCCACTCATGAAGACTGTCCTCGTGTCCTAATTAGTTCCTGAATGTCCCACCTTCTCCTGCCATCACTAGGGGAACTGGGATGTCATCACTGAGTGGGGGAGAGGACGCACATTCAGACCACAGAATTTGTCCACATTGCTGCATCTTCGGGCTTTTGTTATTCATCTTGATGACATAAGTGAACTCTGGCAGCAGTCACTGGTTTGTAGTCACTTGTCGATTATTGGTGGCAAGCAGTATAAGAGAGCTATGGTTGTCTTCTAAACGTTATTGTCTTGAAACAAATTATTTTAATGACATTTTTTCTGAGTGGATTGTATTTACTGATTGCTTTCTTTGGAATCAAACTCACTAACTTGCCCTTGCTAGGCAGGGGCTATACTGTTGAGCTATATCCCCAGCTCTACTGGTTGTTTTTAAGCTAATGTTGAAATTTATTATTTATTTTTTTTGGGGGGGGGTGGGGACCAGGAATCGAACTCGCTACCTCGCACTCGCAGTTGCCAGGCAGGCTCTATGCTGCTGAGCTGTATCCCTGGCCCTTAACGTTGAAATGTATTCACATTGCTCTTCACTGAGTGTTATCTAACTCGTGTTTCATTTCTATAAAAGAAAGAGGCATCTTTGGTGATAAAAAGAGTAGTGATGTTTGACGGTGGTTTTTTTAAACTTAAAGTAAGGTCTCTTGTGGATTAAGATGTGGTAAATGAAGGGTTAGAAAAATTTCTTTAGCCTTTTAAACCATCTCGCTTGTTCTTTTTTAGTTAAGAAAAGTGCAGATTTGAAGTGTTGCCTTTTCTAAGTGAGGTAGTGGGAGTACAGACACGAGTCTCACATCAGCGATAGAACTGGGCTTGGAGCCAGTTAGCACAGGACTAAGTCGTGTTGATCTGGTGTTGTCCTATAGAGCACCCTTTGAGGTGCAAGTGACCAAAACATCTCATGTACGACCATCCAGGGCTTGTGCCCCGGCTGCATATTGTCTTTAGGAGGCCACTTTTTTTCAGTGGTTGGCAACATAATCACAAATCCATGCACATGTGGAGAAAACTAAGTTTTTGTCTCTTCTTTCCCTGTACTTTTCTTATAGTAAAGTACATATAACCTGAAATTTAATTTAACCATTGCAGTTAGCCAATTGGGTGGTACAGGCTTTACCACTGTCTAGTTCTGGGATTTAAATGTTACTTTAAGTAAAAGATATCCCTGTTTAACACAGACGTTCTTCAAGTGTATGTTTACGTCGGTCGATACCCCTTTGTCCCCAGGCCTTTGCTTTGTCAGGTGCTCAGGATGTAATTTCCTGTGTGTGAGAGTCCCTTGCTCAGTCTCCAGAGTGTGCAGCTGCGGGCACACCAGACCCCAGCCTGCTGGTGCCCTGTCGGGAAGAGGCACCAAACTTGCGGGAGGCAAGTGCACAAGAGGCGTCCCCCCCACCCTGAAAGCTCCCTGGATACCTACAGGCATTGCTTGGCCAAACCCAAAGTCTCAGGCACATCATGCCTCATGGTCTGACGTCTTTGTTTGACTCCTTTGCTGCATGTTGGGGCCTGGGATTGTAGAAGAGTCATAGAACGCCAGGGAGCTGTCATGTTAATCGCCAGTACTTTTCACACATGTAACTCGTACATCTTTTCCTAGTACTTGGGCTTTGCTTTAGTTTTTATGGAAAGATTCATTTTCTTTAACCAGCAAGTTATTTTGGTGCTTTTCATAAGGACAATTTGAGTATGTTGAGGATCATTATATTGTTTTTCTCAAATATACCTCAATTTTAAGTATTCAGATCCTTTGAACATGAGCAAATCGCTCGTAATCCTTTGACACTTACCTCAGGACCTATGGTACTTTTCACTGGATTGAAGCAATTTGAGTATGACTAACAGCCATTTTGAATTCAAGTGAGATCAGTAGTGATGAGAAATAATATTTACATACAATTTTGCCAAAAAAGGACAAGTTTAGTGAGAGCATTTCTTTTGTGGCCTTCAGAATAGTGTGTTGTAATTTTACAGCTCAGCAATGGTGCCTCTGAGTTACTAGTCTGTTGTTCCATTTTGTTGTTTTCCTTTTGTGGCTGAGGAATTAATGATATTTGGAAGGGTCTGAAGCCCTTTCTTGAAAAGACCACAAACCATTAATTGAAAGAAGGCGATTATGGATATTCAGCTCACAATAGTTGCTAAGCAAAATGTTAGTCATACCTTGTATTTTAAATCTCAGTAAGAGGACCACTTTGCCTTTTTCATAGTAGAAGAGCTGTATTTGGACAAAAGGAAATAAAGCAGTTTGACTTCTATAATATTCCAAATCTAAACTTTAACGGGAAGAAGGATTGTCTCTTCGGGTCAAATCATGTTGGTATGTGAGTGTAGTACAGAAGCCAAGTCCCGATCACTGACTTAAAGTGAAGCCTTGTGTGCGTGTGTGTGCGCGTGTGTGTATGTGAATGAATGAATGAAAATGGGAGCTCTGCAAAGTCGCCCAGCTCAGCTGAGTAGAGGTGGCCATGCCTTGTCTCAGTAGCAAAGAGCAGTTGAGGCAGAATCAAGAGGAATGCAGGCACAGTGGGGGGAAAGAATGCATGAGACCACAGTTCGAATCCTGGGGCTATCGTTCAAATCCTGGGTTTGGAAGGGAGTAGAAGGAAAGTCATCTTGTAGATACCCAGGATGCGCGTGATGGAAGACGACATGTTTGTGTTCTCAGGTCAACGGCACCGACTTCACCTTCCAAAGCGCAGGTGTCCTCCTCCTCATTGTGGATGCGTGCAGCATTCCCTTCCGGTTGATAGAGAAAAAGTTTTTCCCTCTCACTGATGTTGATGGCATGAAACAGTATTTGACAACAAGCATCCCTCCAAGGTAGGTCAAGCTAACTGGTAGTGGGGACTGACCGCCTTAGAAGATGGGGATAACCCCAGGGTACCCCTAAGCCTTGGATCCTGTGCATGGATACTCATGGCTCTGCAGAAGGCATCTATTCCTTCCTCGCCTCTGATCAGAGGGTTACCTGTGTAAACCAAGGTGCTTATCATTGACAAGTAATTACTGTGAATCAGTGGCAGAAATTGGATTGTAAGAGATTTACAAACAGTAGGAAGGCTCTTAAGAGAAAAACTACTGCCTGGAAAATTACACTCTCTTTTTAGTGTAAAGTTGACTGACTTTATACCCGTCTTACTCAGAAGACTTATTACTGTCCTGAATGAATTTTCCAGGCAGTTTTCCCTTTGTTGCCCTGGCCCAGCAATAGCTTTTCAGACAGCATTGTACTATGGCTGAGGTTTAGGACATTGTTGCCTGGATTGCTTGGGAATGACTGGAAGAGGGTAAATTGATTTTTAAGTGGTTGAGTGTCTGGTTTTCCTTTTAAGAGCACTGATTTTTTGTTTTTTGAATCTCTGGGGGAAAAAAATGATAGGAGAGAAAAACCTTTCTTTTCTTGGGTTGAATGGGCTTCCTGGGCACAAAGAGGTGAATTCATGGTTCTTCCTGCACTTTAGCCTCAATGCAGATATTAAACACATCCATTAAGGGAAAAACATAAGCTTTCCAGGGAGAAACCTGTCCAGCTTTCAACAGGTTTTCAGTCGATGTGATCATTTATGTTGTGTGTAGATGACAGAACCAGATTTCAGCAAGTCCCATGAAGTCTTTGTAGTATTTTGGTGCAGTTTTCCATGCCTATGTAGTCAGTCACTCTTCTGATCCATCCATGAGGTGACTGGTTTCAGGATTTCCTACAGATACTGAAAATACCTTACATAAAAAGCAATGTAATTGCATATAAGCCGTGCATATCCATCTGTATATTTTAAAACATCTCCAGATCATTTAATACCATGTAAATGCTATATATTTTTATATGGAGTTGATTTAAGGCCTAAAGAATAGTCTCAAGGGAGAAGGTGTTCATGTCCATACAGACACAGTTTCTTTTTCCAATTATGCTTTATCTGTGGCCGGCTGAACTCCTGTATGTAGAACCTGTAGCTATGGAGGGCCAGCAGTAACTGTTTTCTGGTTCTAGACAAGTACAGGCGAATCCTTTTAGAGGTTGCAGTGTTTAAGGCTTTAAAGGTTTTTCCTCATGTTGGAAATGCACACACTTCCTCTAAAGCAATGCAGGACACAAATCTCATTAAAAATATTTAGGACAACATAGTACTCCTGCAAAATAACCCTGTAGATTTAAGAGGAAAGGCTTTTGAGAGCCTGGCAGTGTTGTTTCTTGATCCAGCTGCTGGTTATACAAGTGTGTTTAGTTGGCAAAAACTTAAGTGTGTTACACAACTAAGAATTTTTTTTTTTTATGTTGCTCTTTAACAAAGCATTGAGAAGTAATGGGCCACCGGTCGTGATTTCTAGAGAGGCTGAAGATACGTGCGTGAGCATGCATCCGCGTGCCTGTGTCTGTGTGCCTGTGTGTGCATGTGACCTCCTCATGATCTCCCGGGCCTGGCCTGAGTGTTTCTGACTCGGTGGAGAAGGTCAGGTCTGCAGGCTTGCTGTGGCTGGCCCTCTGCCCTGATTCTGAGTCACGAGCAAGGACTGAATGAGAGGAGAGATTGTCTCTTTCTGGATAGACGGTTAATGTTGTAAAGCTGTCCTTCTGCCTAAATTAAAACACAAATTCAACCCATTTTCATTAATGGAGATAAATGGTAGTCAGTACAGAAGCTCACCTGGAGTCATAAATGTGGCAGTGTTACTCTCTTGCTAAGTAAATTATAATAATGCAGGGGGTTTGCTGTATCGGATATGTAAAAAACCATGAAGCCATAGTAAGCATTCCATGAAGCAATCATAAGAGAGTCCACAAACAGATCTGAGTCCACAAACAGACCTGTTTTGACTGTATATTTGTGTTATTATGTACTAGACTACAGATGCCAGTGGTGTGTACCTGCAATCCCAGCTCCTTGGGAGCCTCAGGCAAAAGGATTGCAGGTTTGAGCCCAGCCTGCATAACTTAAGAGAAACCATCTCAAAAAAAAAAAAAAAAAATTAAATTTTAAAAAAATGAAAGGACTGAGAACATCACTTAGCACTCTCTACTACTAAGAAGTTAAAAAAAAAAAAGATTGTGATTAAAAACCTAAACATTTTTAAGTGTTGAGAACAGTTACTTATTTATTTATTTATCCATTGGCTCTGATTGTCTTACCTTTCACCTACAGGTCAATAGTTCTGTTGAGTACAAGAGAAGAAATAAAGCAGTTGAATATTTCAGATTCCTTAATACCTCTGGGATTAGCCAGACCAGCTCACCTTTATAACAAAGGTTTGTGTTTGTGTCATTCTCTGAAGTTCTTACAAGAGCAGGAGCATGTGGGTTTTGATTGTGAAATTTTGCTGCTGGATTAAATTTTTATGAGTCTTCCCAGAGTGAGCATCACTAATATAATATCTAATCAGGGGCAGTATCAGAGGAGGTGTGGAGGGATGTGGTTTGTTGCTTGTTTGGGAGCAGTCGTTTGCTGAGCTCAGAGGTGTGGAGTATCTATAAAGTTGTCTTTGTTTTTCTCAACTCTGACTCACCTGCGTTACCGGGCCAGAAGTAGCTGTACAAATTGAACTTTTTATTTGTTGTAGGGAGCATCATATTTTTGGGATTCAGTGGAAACTTCAAACCATCATGGACTAAGCTGCTTACCAGTCCTGCTGGACAGGGCCTTGGGGTGTTCGAACAGTTCATACCTTTGCAGCTGGATGACTACGGCTGTCCCCGGAGCGCCAGTGTCCGCAGAAGAGACCTGGAACTGTTGAAGCAAGCTTCTAAAGTGCTTTAGAGACTGACTATAACTTAAGTGCTGGGAAACAAAATGTGAACTAACTTATTTAATTTATGGCATTTTAAAATGACACTGTTAACCCAACAGAACCATTTTTCTGTCTGATACAAAAAAGAGAAAAAGAGTTCAGAGAGGTTGCCTGAACGCCAGCTTACGCACCTTCTAGTTGTACAAATGTTAAAGACTGTAAGGCTGGTGTCTTCAGAACGCGCCTCTCCTGTTCCTCACCTGGTGCCTCCGGATTTGGTGATGACCATCAGCAGTGTTTGAGCTGCGGTAAAATGGAATGTGCTAAGGTGGGTGGGGGCTTCTGAGTTGTCGTCTTGAGAGGACCAGCACCTTGTATACTTGAAGTCTGCCCTCAGTTGTGCCCTGTGGCAGTTGACCAGGGTAGACGGTATGCTCTGCAATCCCTGGGGCCCTGTTTTGGGCAACCATTGTGGATTTTCTGTGATGCTGAATGACGTTTTAAGTGGCATCTCAGGCCCAGCTCATGCCCATTTTTGCCTGGACATGTGCTATTTTTATTCATTTGTATATTGATTACTTTTAAGGGTGCAACTTTCAAACAGGAAGTACATTGGGGCAAAAGGGCTTTTAGGGATTAGAAATCCCCGTAATTTGTGACTATTGGATAAACATTTGACCTGCATCAAGTCTGAGATTGTTTGAATCATTTTGCAGCTTTAACCCTTAGCCTGTTTTGACTGTATATTTGTGTTCAAAATGCAGAGCTAAGCTGATTATTTTTTTTAAAGAAGCAGGCCGTTTTCCTGAACTCCAAACTTGTGTCATTTTAACTTGCACAGAGGAGGTTTCTTCTTGATATTGCTCTTGCACCTGGGTTTTTTGTTATTGTTGTTTTTGTGTGGGTGTGGGTGTGTGGATGTGTTTGTGTGTTTTAGAAAAGATTCTCTGCTCACCATCCTACCAGGAAAATCCCAAAAGCTTAATGATAACCCAAAATGATGGTAATCCAGGGTGGGAAGAAGGAGGAGCCTTTTAAGGACCAGAATCATGGAGGGAATATTGGGCAATGAATCCTTTTGTAGCCTTAGAGGAGTGAGTCACTCTTACCTAAACTGTTAAAGACAATTGATAAGAACAGAGTGATTTCCAGTTTCCCTTCCCCTGGAATCTTGTGTCTTGCCAGTGAGAATTACATTTGCCAATGAAATTAGGTTCCACCTGGGATGCTGCCCCCCTCCAAGAGGAAGGAAAGAAGCCTTTGGATTTATAAATGTAGACCCACAAGGCACAAATCTGGAAGAGAGAAGGCCAAGTGTGTTTGGGCTGCTGAGCCTGGCAGTGAGTGCAGACAAATTTCCTTTCTTTTACCATGTGCCAGGGTGATGGCTTCTACCTTTGTGTCCAGGAGAAACTACAGAACAACTCTGCAACTTGTTTTACTTTACGAAATGTGCTACCTCAAAGTGCTGCCAATAGAAACCATTCTGACTGTTTGTGCTCACCCTAAGGGCACGTGTCTTAATCAAAGTTTGGTTAGTGTTTTTGGGTGTGGGGTTGTTTTTTGTTTTTGTTTTTGTTTTTTTTGTACAGTAATGAATGAGATCTTACCTATTAAATGTATTATTGGAAAATGGTTCCTGAAGGTAATTAAAATTTGTGTGTTTTATGACTTAAATATCTTTGATGTGTGTTTTTTAGAGTTTGGTTCTTTTTTTTTTTTTTAATTTTATTTTAGAATAAAACCAAGCAAAATAAAACAGAATAAAGCCAATCAAACCAAGACTGTGATGAAGGATTTCAAAACAAAGTAATAGCAAATCAACAATGTTTATCACAATGCCTCTTGTTGTCTTCAGACATAGTAAAATCAAAACATAAATAGAACTAATAAAAACAAAACAATGAATACAATACAGGACTTCAAAGCAAGATACTAGTAAATCCAAAATGGCTACCATAATATATCTTGTTAGCTTCGAAATAGCTGCCCATGCCATCATATATAATAAAATCAAACAAGATAAAATAATGAAATCCAAACAAAACAATGAGAACAATACAGGATTGTAAAAAAAAGATAATAGGGAATTAACAATGGCCACCACCTTCAGCAGGAGCTTGCTCATAAATACTGTATTGTGCATTATCATCTATTGAACAGGCGATGAGTCTACCAGTTGAAATATAACATTACAAGCATTAAATTGTATTTTACCCCATTAGGTAGAATCACAGCCTGTGTTTGTCTGGATCAGCTGGTCACAGAGAGAGGGAGGGGGAGGAACATAGACTCTCTTTATCTCCCTGCTTGCATGCTGGAAGGGGCTAGCATCCGGATCTCCCCCAGTCAGTCCGCACATGGTGCCGACTCATCTCTTTAAAGATTTGGGAAAGATATGTAAGTTCCAAGGCATTCACTTTTTCTGATTTATCTAATATTCAGGGCCTACATTAATAAATGCATGTGCTTTATCTATGTGTGAATATGGATCTTTCTATCATGTTTTAATTTTACATTGCAGCTATAATACAAAGGTTATTGACAGGAATAAGAAAATTCATTAAGTGAATTTTGTGAAACTAAGCACTAGAAATTCAGATTTACATTCTCTAGTGCAGAAATTCTCAATCTTGGAATAACCTAGGGAGCTTTAAAAAATATGGAAGTCTCCCACCCACTCCTAGGTTTGCATTTACTTGGCGTGAGGTGCAGCCTGGGAATTGGGATTTTGTTTAAAGCTCTTTGGGTAAGTCTAAACACCCAGCCAGCTTTTAGAACTATTATACTTATGTAGTCTTTAATTTTGTTCTGTGATTCTTTTGTGATTAAAAGATTTCATTTATCTGTTTTTATTTTAGATCTTTATATTACAGAACTAAAACAAATGCTAAACCATTTCATTACTGGTTCTTTTTAACGGCACTTTTAAATACAGTTTAAAGGTTTAATCATCCCTGTTAAATTAGTCATACGAAAGGTTGCAAACATTTTGGGCAGTTGGAGGCTAGCTGTCTTTTTTTTTTTTTTTTTTTTTTTTTGCTGATAAATTGTATTCCAACATGATTTATAAGTTTGTAAGCATTTTTCTATCAGGTGAGGTGATTGGCAGAATTCCAGAAATACGGCTGTCTGCAAACCAGGCGGCTGATGAGAAATGCAGAGGTTTCTCGTGTATCAGTGGACTGGTGTTTTTCCGTTTTTACCGTATGGTCCTGCCACTCCACCTGAGCCAGGATCCCGTATATAATCTTCAGAGGCTGTAAGAGAGTGCTTTGGGAGATGAAAGGGGTACACAGCCCTCCTGAAAGATGACTCCAATGAGCTGCAAGCTGAGGCTTAGACCGAGGGCTGGTGGGGAATTCATGGCTCTCCTGTTTCCTGGCTTCCACATAGGTTCTCAGGCCATTAAGCAGATTTTGAGGATGGGTTTCTGATGAGGTGATGGCCAAAGGTTTGAATGCTTCAGATAAATATATTGTCATCCCTTAGTGAATGAGGAAGTGATTGGACTAGTCCACTTAGAAGGTGTTTGAGTGGTAGGAATGCTCTCTAAGGGTTTTTTTCCTGTTATTCTTAGTAGATAAGTACAATAATTTCACTAAGACAATGCTTATGGATTTTGCATCGCAGAATTGGAGTTTATCCTCCAATATTACCATTTAGCTTTTAGGTTCTTAGTAAGCCAGCCTTAATAAGCTGAAAAGTTTTCCTAGAGGTGAACACCTTGAATAGGGTAACAGATTTGTGTCCATTAAAATAGTCTGACTTGTTAATGACCCAGTGTGCTAGCAATGCAAGCAGACATTCTGGAGTGGAGCTAATTTTCAATAAAAGATCAGGGAAATGCATTCCAGTTCCGTGATCACAGATGGCAAAATATTTGCAACTTACTAGATTCCCGAGTCATTTGGAAGACAAATTTTTTCACTCTTGTGTAGTCATATGAGGAAGAAGGTGATAACATGGATGCTTAATTAGGACTTGGTGTTGTGGATAAAGGCACACACACATTTTCTATTCTTGGGTAGTAAAATCTGAGTATGACTGAACTGTGATTTTCTAAATAAGTAATCATGCTCCGGAGGACATGCAGAAATATCAGCCATACCAAGCTGTGAAAATTATGTCTGAAAATTACATTTCTTGTAATTTTCTTTACATGAACAAAATTAGTCTATAAAAAAGTGATAGTTTTCTCCTTAGGAAAGCTTAGACATCATGATCATAGTTGGTTAATCACAGTTGCCAAACTGTGGTGTCTGCCCATAACTGAGTGTTTTTGTTCTTGCTTTAATTTCTTGATTCACATATATTTTTATATATTATTTGTGAAGTAGACTGTAATATTTTAATTCCTTGCGTACGCTGGGTAGTGATCAACTCAGGTAGTATAACCATCAGCTTAAACTTTTATTGTACATTCAGATTCTCCCAAGTATCTCAAGATACGAGTTCTAGTATTCTGTAGGGGGGTGGGGGTGGCGGTTAGGGATAGTGTTTGATGTTTTTAAATATAACACACTTTCCCAAAAGATCAAAAGAAATTATATTTTGTGATACAGAAATTGTGTGGAATTTAAACTTCTGTGTCCATGAATAAGGTCCCATTTGAAGGAACCTAGCGGAGCTTGTGTTCATGTTGACTGCTGGTGCTTTGTGTGATCAGGGCAGAGTTGAACGGTTAAGGAGACTGCAAGCCCCAGACAGCTGAAAAGATTTACTTTTAGGCCCTTTCCTAAAAAAAAACAAAATCTGCCTCTTGATCTTGGTAAAGGATACACTAATGTTCATGGTCCTAATCTTGCCTACATTTTAAGAATGTAAAAAAATAGCATAAGTAAGCTAAGGAATAAATCTGCTGCAGAATGACAGGAGGTGGTGGATGAAAATGCAGAATCCCAGCTCCGACTCAGACTGTAGACTTGGCAGCTCTGAATGTTGGAGCTGGGAATCAAATTTTTCGATAAACTCTCCAGGTGTTTCTTGTGAAGGCTAAAGGGTGAAAATCCCACAGCACAGTGAGCTGGGTCTTTCTCCATTTCCTTCCCCTCAATAGAGAAAACATCCAAAAAACTCAAACTGCTTGTTTTTGCTTTTTGAAACTATTAATTCCATTGGCATCATCTTTCCCAGAGCTTGCTTGCTTGCTTGCTTTCTTGTCTAGTGCAGGGCAGATGTGATGCACAGCAAAATGTGTGGTGTTGCTGAGACAGGCTTGTAAAGCACGTATTAGGTCTTCCATGATGTCTGAAATACTTAAAAACTTTTATATCTGACTACATTTATTTATACTCTAAAATCAAGGCTGTCTTTTGTTTTCTGCAGTTTTTACTATTTTAAGAAACTTGAAGGAAAATGTATGTTTTAGTGAAAATGAGGCTGCACAGAATAACAAAAACAGGTTTTGCTTTTGGATAACTCTGTAACTCTTATTTCAAGTTTATTAACAGTACTTGATAATTGTGGGTGTATTTTTTTAAGGTAGAATGAATGGTGTCATACAATTTATAAGGAAAAGCCTTTCACTGGATCATCTTCATGGAGGACTCTGGGGCTTAAGGGGTCCTCAAGTTGATCCTTGTCAGGGAAGAGGAGTGGGCTGGGCCGGTGTGGCTAACTCAGCTGCCATCGGCCCATGTTTATTAACAGCATGCAGTTCCTGAGGAAGGAGGGCCTAGCACGGGAAGGTTTGTGATGCAGGAGGGTGAGGAACCTGCTGGTGTCAAGGTAAGAGCCATGACTAACTCCCAAAATGGTAGCGAGGAGGAGAGATTTATGACCAGAAAGAAAGACTGATAAAACTTAATTCCGTCAGTTGTGCATGTGTGGTCAGTGTTAAGGAATATCAATCACTATTGATAAGTTTGAAATAGAGTTACTCAGTGAGCAGGAAATGGACGGGTGTGGGAGTGAAGTGCTTGATGGTTGCTTGCCAGATGGTGAATGTTTTGGTGACCAGCCTCAGTTTTATCCCAGGTAAGGTGCTTTATGAGTGGTTTACTTAGAGCACGTTTCTACTTCTGGTCCTCTGCTTTTACAGCTATAAAATGGGACTATTATTATTTTTATGGAGTTAGGATATTAAATGAAAACAACCCTGGCTAACAAAAAAGCTGGCAATTAAATATCAGCTGTTTTTTTTTTTAAAATCAGAATTAATGCTTTTACACAGATTGAGAGTTAGGGAATTTATGTTCTTAAAACAAATTTCCAAGGTAATACCAGGTTTGAAAACTGCTAGACTAATTTTAATATGCTTCTGGTGGTGCAGGCTGTTTATGCACAGAAAACAGGACCTCGGGCCAGGCAATGCTTGCGTAGTGAATTGGCTTGAGCTTTCACAGAAAGTTTGCACTTAGGCCCTCACTAATGCTATAGCTCAGCAAGTGGTACTTAGACAAGAGCTATGAGGCGTGTGTGCGTGCACGTGCGTGCGTACATGTGCGTGCGTGCGCGTGCATGTGTGTGTATATGTGAGAAACCTGGAATGAAAACATGGCCGTACCCTGTGCAGCTGGTATGTGTAGTTTTCTACTTTTATTCTTGCTAGGGGAGACTTCGGCGCTTCTAATAGTTTGCTTCTGCTAGTCCCTTTTCTGCCATAAACAAGCTGTTTCAGTGAGCTGTTTTCAGCCACTCACGTTTACACTCTTCCCATCAGCTGGGAAAAATAT